AGAATTTGCATAATAATTTGGAACAGGGTGTAGTCCTGAGGCAAGCCAACAGGCACCTCCAAGAACACATAACGAGGTTCAGTTCATCACATAATTGTGTATATGTTTTTACTGTAGTCTACTCTCAGATCCAGGGGGGAGTGCCCCTTGAATGAGGTCCTGCATATAAGGCAAGTTGTGGCTGCCATTAAACAGATTCATTTTACTCTTCATGAAGTCTAGGCTCATGTTTGGAGATTGGAGAGCTATAGTCACTCTGGGGATTGCTATAATCACTATGTCCAAGGTGGATGGAGGACAGCGAGACCCCAACCAAGCTGCGGTGGTTTGTGGGGTTTATGGTGTTCCAGTGCGATGCTTATGGTGCTCGCAAGTACTAGGAAGCAACGACGGAGGTACCCGGTCGGGGTGCCAGGTGTTCCCTCACAAGGCTGTTTTATCGTCAGTGGACCTGTGAACTTAAAAGGAAAAGAACATAATTATTTAACAAGATAATAACATTAAAATACATGTTCCTGGCACTGGAGGGGAACCAACTCTCCGGGCAATACAATTAAAGCTTTTTAACTAAAGTAAAACTTACATTGAATCCAGGTTCAGAATCCCTTGTTTCCATGTCTTACTTTGACTCATACCGCATCACTCCTTAGTTCAATCAAATTCTTCTCATAGAGAACTGCACCACTCCTTGGTCCAATTAAATGCTTCTTATTTTCATCAAGCAGAGCATATGCACACACTCTGAGCTGGTGTGGGAAGGGAGGTGGAGTGAGGGGACTATTATTTGATTTTTTTAAATGGAGAGTTGAGCTCTCAATGCCAGGAAGCTGGGTGGTAATGCATAAACGGAGCGAGGAGACACTCAAGCTTCCCCTTGCAGGAACCCTACCAGTGCTGCCTGCAAGGGTAGAAGCTTATTAAATTTTTCATAGGTAAGTCTATCGATTAATGTAATTTTTGCATGAAATTGACATTAGGCTGCCTAGAACAGTTATGGGATACCTAGATCACGTGACGTGGGTGCAATTAACCACCAGCACACAAGTGCAAATATCGCTGTATGTGCAGTGTTGATAAAAATGCCTAATTTTTATCTTGATCACTGTTTAACAGAGTAATTAAGTGCAGAAGTGCAGTTGTGCATTTTAAATATATATATATATATATATATATATATATATATATATATTTAAAATAAACAATTCACAATTTCTTTATATTTGGTCAACCGAATTTTGATGATGCTGCAGTTCAGCTTGTCCAATAACATCCATGCAAGCGGTTCTTGAAACCCTATTCGGACTAACCAAAAGGGAGCAAAAAATTAGCATATCACTATATTTATGCCATGGTGTAATTCCCCAACACGTGGAGTTTAGGATAGCAAGGGACAAGAATATAACGTATACCGGGACTGGAGTGGCCGGACTAAACGTCAGACAGAGATAAAGCGAGACAAGATGAGGTCAGGGTAACGGAGAGTCAGTGAAAACAAGAACTAGCCAGAGTCAGGTACACAGAAATAGGCAAACAAGACAGGAAAGGGTTAAAGATAAATTCAGAGTCAGGAACAAAGCCAAGGTTAATACCAGAATAAAACACAACACATCATGGAACACACTAAAGTGTTCTGAAACAGAAACCACAACAGGGCAAAGTGTTAAGTAAGGCTATTTAAACTCTCCTAGCCTTACTTAACATTTAATTGGCCCAGGGTACCTTGTATTTTGGTCCTTGAGACACAGCCTGGGGGAAGTTTGCAGATCTGTGGATTCCCTCATTGTTCCAAACGCTGGCTGTTGTAACTACGCCCCCTTTCATGATATGGTGTGTACGCACCAACATCATGATGCCAATTACATCAAGCAACGTAAAAATCATCTCCTATGGTCTTTCTGGTTTTGATCATGGCTATTATTGATTATTCTCCTATCTGTACTCTTTGACTCTGCTATTGATCATCCCTATTCCTGAATTCTGGTTTCCCATTGAGCCTGGCCACTTAAAGGTCTGGTATACATGTATTCATACTTATACCAGGTTACACTCTGCATGTTGGGTCTCCCTAAATTTCTGACAAGAAGTGATAGGGAACAGAGAGTTGTTAGCTATTATTCGCACCCTGAAGGAATGGCAACACTGTTCATATATACCAGTTATGATATGTAGCAGAGCACCAATACTCTAAATGAGTATCTCTGCCGAATATCCTGGAAGCTTGAAGAAGCTCTTTGTAACGGATCTCCAGTATTCCGACCGAGTACTTCCGTTTGACAGATGCTCCTAGTGCTTATGGTGTCCAAGCACTGCACGAGACACCATAACCACCGCAGACCCCACGAACCGCCGCAGCTTGGTTGCGGTCTCGCCATCCCCTACCCAACCTGGACCCAAGACCAGGGTCCAGCTCTCAGTGGGTAGACCTCTCTTAAATCCAGAGATCCCCAGAGTGTAGTTCTCCAATTCCCCAAACATGAGCCGAAACGTCATTAAGGTGAAAGATGATCTGTTTAATGAGCACAAAGGCATTTCTTTTATTCCCCTTTTTTAGGCCAGAGGCACACCCCCTGGACCTAGTGGTAAACTGGGACACAAACCAATGGGAGCAATAATTAACATAGTAACACTCCCACATACACATTAAGATCCCTCCCCTCTATCCTGGAGATAATTGGTTTAAGTGGCTGTAGTAAACTCAATTATCTCCAGGTACAGAAAATATTCCTAAGTTAAAACTGTAATAAAAAACACATTAAAATACATAACTTATGTTTCACAGAACTGAACCCCCACATGTGACATATCCCCAGATAGATTGGATCTGAGTGCTCAGATCCCACGAACATAGTCAAATCGCCATGGGGTTCAAGTGTCTATGGAGGTCTCTTTTGACCGACCGCAGCATGGCTTTCCTGCCCAAAACAGTTCCACAGAATTTGGCTATGCGCCCGGTCTACTTCCCATGTTAAAATCAGTTCAAAGAGAGGAACGGCAACCGTTCGTGCAAATGTCAATGTTAAAGTGGCGTTCAAATTGTCGAACACTGTTCGACTGCTGTCAAAGTTCAGAGAAGGTAATGTTCAGCAGTGTTTGTGCCGTCGCGTGTCCGATTTGAGTTCCATAAACTCGCCGTCCAAACAGCGCTGAACGCGTTCGACTAAACAAGATGGCCGCCACAACGTGTTCGACTATACGAATGGCGACCACCCAGCCGTTCATCAATTAGCTTCGGTTAACCGCAGCTCCTGGGAGGTAAATGAGGGACACACTCCACTTGTATGTGGTCCGGCTGTTCGGCAGTTTGTTCGTATAAACGAACACCATAGGCACAATCCATTCGGCTGTCCCATAGACTGAACTGGGGGGGAAAGAGACATGAACTAAAGCCCTTTCTCCAGTCTGTATCACAGTCTAATACATGGGCCATAGTCCTGGGGCAAGAGGCTGGCAAGCAGGCCCCTCCAAACACCAGTGACGAAGGTGCTTTCGTCACACTCTCTTTAGTGAATAGTCTAATTCCCCCCTAGTAACTAGATGACACATAGTTCTGGGAGTACAACAGATTTATATTCCACATGCTTGGTCTTTTATACACAGACCCCCGGCATGGGGTCTCCCTTGTATACACACAGTGCCTGCCCAGGCGCCTTTGTGTCCGGGAGTTAATCGAGTTGCTGACCGCTAAACTAATCATCTCCTGGATACAAAGTGCCTAACACAAACTACAGTAAAAACACACAGGATCCCCACATGTCATACATCCCTGGATAGCTCTGGTCCAAGTGCCCAAGTTAGCAAAATAGAGCTCGGATCCATAAAGAATTGTCCAATTGCCCCCGGGGTAAAGATTTGACCGGCCGCACGGCGTAATTGTGGTTTGGGCTGGTCAAATATCAGGAGCTCCTGCGGTGAAATGGAAGGGGGCTTCACCGGGAGCGATTGTTCCAATTAGTTTGTAGTACCTTCCCTCCAAATAGCGTTCTCCTGGCAGGTTGGCAAGGGGAATACACATTGGGTTAAGGTGACTGGGAGCCGCAAAGTTAAATAGCCTTAATTTAAATAGCGGAGTTCCAGGGAGTTTGCGACCTAGTATCGCTGGGGACCATTCGGGAGTTTGCCCAACCAAATGACTGCCAGGGAGGGTGCTTTTTGGTAATAGATGTTTAGAATAAGGGAAGGTACTGAACCAGGGGTTAGTGAACAGTTGTTTCAGATAAAAGTTATGAGTACAAGGACAGTGTCTGCCACATGATACTTATAGAATATATATATATATATATATATATATATACACACACACACATACATACATACAGAGACAGCGGCAAATAAAAATAAATAAATTATGTAACACAAATCCCTATAAACAAAAACCTAGCTCGTCTAAGCACTAACTAACATCAGATTCCCTATCTCTCAGGGGTTAAACTAAAACAAAACAATATTGCTTTCACCAACCTAGTGTCTTTGTTGGCTCTCTGCACTCCAGTGTTTAGCCAGCCTACTGCTTCCAGCCTTCCAGAGAGAAACAAACATTCCCCCCTACCTGCAGCTGATTAGCTCCCCAGCTCAGACCCATCGGGGCGAGCGGCCTGGGACCATAGACAGTGAACTCGGGAGAGGCCATCTGCATTACCTTTGGCAGTACCGACCCTGTGAGCAATAGTAAACTGGTACCATCTAGTCAACCTGGCATTTTTTTCTTTGTTTTGCCTCATCCACGGAGCATGGTCTGTGATCAGTGTAAAACGTCTCCACAGTAAGTAATATCTCAGGGATTCTAATGCCCATTTGTAATGGTATTTATTAATTAATGACTTTACATCATAAAGAAAGCATATTTAGTGTAATGCTTTGGGGGCACCACTAGGGGGAGTGTGTAGGAAGACATGTGCTTCTGGCAGTGACATCACAGGCCAGCCTACTTACACTGAATAAAACCAGATGGAGGAGAAAACTCTGTCCTTTTGCCTGTACCTGACTGAACCTAAGATGTAGTACCAGCTCTGACTTAACCCCAGCCAAAGGGCTGGGGCCTTGTAAGTAAAATGTTGTGTAACATGTAGCAACCTTTTGTAAGTAATATGTTGTAGTTTTGTATTGTATCATAATTGTAGTAAATTGACATTCTGCTAGCATCTGTTTATTTGTTATAGTTATATTAAATATACATTTAATAATACAACGTTTTGTGTATTTTCTATCCACATATTCGACCATAATACCATGAATTATAAAAATATTAATGTTGTTCCGTATTGCTTAATTATTATGTATTAAGAGATTAATATTCATATTTAGGTCACGACCACAACACCATTTTATGGCCATGCATTCCTTTTCCACTATGGAGTACCTCTGTTCATGGGGATTCATTTTCCGGTTCAGATACATGACAGGATGTTCCTCTCCTTCATGTACCTGGGAAGGAACCGCGCCAAGGCCCACATCGGCATCGGTCTGTACCACAAATGGTTTAGTGAAATCCGGAGCCACTAAAACAGGGTCAGCACACAAGGCTCCTTTCAAGACTTGAAAGGCATGCTCCACTTCTGGGGTCCACTTAACCATAACCGGGCCTTTTGCCTTAGTACGTTCAGTCAATGGGTTGGCAATGGTAGCGTACCCAGGGATGAACCTGCGATAGTAGCCGGTTTAAGCCTAAAAAAGCCCTGACTTGCTTTTTAGTTACAGGACGTGGCCAACTGGTGATGGCCACTACCTTGCTCTCTTGTGGTTTAAGGAGCCCCCGCCCGATAGTGTAACCTAGATATTTTGCTTCTTCTAGCCCTAAAGAACACTTAGCAGGGTTAGCTGTCAAACCGGCAGCCCATATACTATTCACAACTGCCTGAAACTTCATCAAGTGGGTTTCCCAGTCTGCACTGTGAATCACCACATCATCCAGGTAGGTGGCTGCATACTCCATGTGGGGGTGAAGTATCTTATCCATCATACGCTGAAATGTGGCTGGGGCACCAAGCAACCCAAATGGCAGTACTTTATATCAGAATAACCCATCAGGGGTAGAAAATGCGGTTTTCTCTTTTGCTTTCTCTGTCAGGGGTACCTGCCAGTATCCCTTGGTGAGGTCCAAGGTGCTCAGATATCTGGCCTTACCTAATCGCTCTATTAGCTCATCCACACGAGGCATCGGGTAGGCATCAAACTTAGAGATATCATTTAGCTTACAGAAACGTATTTCCCCATTTGGTTTGGGCACTAACATGATTGGGTTGTTCCACTCACTTTGTGACACTTCAATCACCCCCAACTCAAGCATCTTTTTTACTTCTGCACTAACTGCTTCACGTGTAGCCTCAGGTATCCTGTAGGGCTTCAGATTGATCTTCTTCCCAGGTTCAGCTATGATATCATGCTTGATTACATGTGTTTTTCCTGGTATTAGGGAAAACACCTCCCTATTTTTAGACTCAAACTCCCTGACTTCCTGTTTCTGATGGGAGGCAAGAGTATCAGCAATATGCACCTCTGGACCCTGCTCAAGAGTTGTTTGAGTAGGTTTATCTCTGGCCATGATGAGAACCTCTCATTCTACCCATGGCTTCAATAAATTTATATGATATATCTGTTCTGGCTTCCATCTGCCTGGCTGGCTTACGTTATAGTTCACGTCGCTGACCCGCTCAGTGATTTCATATGGCCCTTGCCAGCTGGCTAAGAATTTGCTGTCTACCGTGGGAATGAGAACTAGAACCCTGTCACCTGGTTTGAATACCCGTAGCCTTGCTTTCCGGTTAAAGCTTGCTTGTTGGGCTCTCTGGGCCTTTTCCATGTTTTCCCTAACTATGGGAATTACTGCTTCGATTCACTCTTACATTTGAGCTACATGCTCTATAAGACTATGATGGGGGGTATGCTCTTGTTCCCATGTTTCCTTGGCAACATCCAGTATGCCTCTTGGACGCGCTCAGTGTGTGTGTGTGTGTTGAAGGCGGGAGCGCGCAAAGTGTGTGTGAGGGGAAGGCGGGAGCGCGCTAGGTGTGTGTGAGGTGAAGGTGGGAGCGCGCTCGGTGTGTGTTGAAGGCGGGAGCGCGCTCAGTGTGTGTGTTGAAGGCGGGTGCGCGCTCAGTATGTGGGGTGTTGAAGGCGGGAGCGAGCTCAGTGTGTGCGAGGTGAAGGCGGGGGCGCACTCAGTGTGTGTGAGGTGAAGGTGGGAGCGCGCTCAGTGTGTGTGAGGGGAAGGTGGGAGCGCGCTCAGTGTGTGTGTGTGTTGAAGGTGGGAGCGCGCTCAGTGTGTGCGAGGTGAAGGCGGGAGCGTGCTCAGTGTGTGTGAGGTGAAGGCGGGAGCGCGCTCAGTGTGTGTGTGTTGAAGGCAGGAGCGCGCTCAGTGTGTGCGAGGTGAAAGCGGGGTCGTGCTCAGTGAATGTGTGAGGGGAAGGAGGGAGCATGCTCAGTGTGTGTGTGTGTTGAAGGCGGGAGCGCGCAAAGTGTGTGTGAGGGGAAGGCGGGAGCGCGCTAGGTGTGTGTGTGTGTGAGGTGAAGGTGGGAGCACGCTCGGTGTGTGTGTTGAAGGCGGGAGCGCGCTCAGTGTGTGTGAGGGGAAGGCGGGAGCGCGCTCAGTGTGTTGAAGGCGGGAGCGCGCAAAGTGTGTGTGAGGAGAAGGCGAGAGCACGCTAGGTGTGTGTGTGTGTGTGAGGTGAAGGTGGGAGCGCGCTCAGTGTGTGTGTGTGTTGAAGGCGGGAGCGCGCTCAGTGTTTGTGTTGAAGGCGGGAGCGCGCTCAGTGTGTGTGTGTGTTGAAGGCGGGTGCGCGCTCCCACCTTCAACAAACACACACGGAGCCCGTGTTTGTTGGAGGTGGGAGCACGCTCAGTATGTGTGTGTTGAAGGCGGGAGTGCACTCAGTTTATGAGGAGAAGGCGGGAGCGAGCTCAGTGTGTTTGTTGATGGCGGGAGCGCGCTCAGTGTGTGAGGAAAAGGCAGGAGCGTGCTCAGTGCATGCGAGGTGAAGGCGGGGGCGCGCTCAGTGTGTGTGTGTTGAAGGCGAGAGCGCGCTCAGTGTGTGCGAGGTGAAGGCGGGAGCGCGCTCAGTGTGGTGTGAGGTGAAGGCGGGAGTGCGCTCATGTGTGTGTGTTGAAGGCAGGAGCGCGCTCAGTGTGTGCGAGGTGAAAGCGGGGTCGCGCTCAGTGAATGTGGCAGGGGAAGGAGGGAGCGCGCTCAGTGTGTGCGAGGGGAGAGCGGGGTCGTGCTCAGTGAATGTGTGAGGGGAAGGAGGGAGCGCGGCTCAGTTGTGTGTGTGTTGGCGGGCGGAGCGCGCAAAGTGTGTGAGGGGAAGGCGGGAGTGCGCTAGGTGTGTGTGTGTGAGGTGAAGGTGGGAGCGCGCTCCGGTGTGTGTTAAAGGCGGGAGCGCACTCAGTGTGTGTGTTGAAGGCGGGAGCGCGCTCAGTGTGTGTGGGGGGGAGGCGGGAGCGCGCTCAGTGTGTGTGAGGGGAAGGCGAGAGCGCGCCTCGTGTGTGTGTGTTGGAGGCGGGAGCGCGCTCAGTGTTTGTGTTGAAGGCGGGAGCGCGCTAAGTGTGTGTGTGTTGAAGGCGGGGGCGCGCTCAGTATGTGGGGTGTTGAAGGCGGGAGTGAGCTCAGTGTGTGCGAGGTGAAAGCGGGGGCACGCTTAGTGAAGGTGTGAGGGGAAGGCGGGAGCGCGCTCAGTGTGTGTGTGTTGAAGGCGGGAGCGCGCAAAAGTGTGTGTGAGGGGAAGGCGGGAGCGCGCTAGGTGTGTGTGTGTGGAAGGCTGGAGCCGCGCCAGTGTGTGTGTGTGGTGAGGGCGGGAGCGCGCTCAGTGTGTGCGAGGTGAAGGTGGGAGCGCGCTCAGTGTGTGTGGAGGGGGAGGCGGGGAGCGCGCTCAGTGTGTGTGAGGGGAAGGCAGGTGCGCGCTCAGTGTGTATGAGGTGTTGAAGGCGGGAGCGCGCTCAGTGTGTGTGAGGAGAAGGCGGGTGCCCGCTCAGTGTGTATGAGGTGTTGAAGGCGGGAGCGCGCTCAGTGTGTGTGAGGAGAAGGCGGGAGCGCGCTCAGTGTGTGTGAGGGGAAGGCGGGTGCGCGCTCAGTGTGTGTGAGGAGAAGGCGGGTGCCTGCTCATTGTGTGTGTGAGGGGAAGGCGGGTGCGCGCTCAGTGTGTGTGTCAGGTTAAGGCGGGAGCGCGCTCAGTGTGTGTGAGGGGAAGGCGGGTGCGCGCTCAGTGTGTGTGAAGGGATGGGGGGAGCGCGCTCAGTGTGTGTGAGGGGAAGGGCGGGAGCGCGCTCAGTGTGTGTGAGGTGAAGGCAGGAGCGCGCTCAGGGTGTGTGTGAGGGGAAGGCGGGAGCGCGCTCAGTGTGTGTGAGGGGAAGGCGGGAGCGCACTCAGTGTGTGTGAGGGGAAGGCGGGTGCGCACTCAGTGTGTCAGTGTGTTGAAGGCGGGAGCGCGCTCAGTGTGTGTGAGGGGAAGGCAGGAGCGCGCTCAGTGTGTGTGAGGGGAAGGCGGGAGCGCACTCAGTGTGTGTGAGGGGAAGGCGGGTGCGCACTCAGTGTGTCAGTGTGTTGAAGGCGGGAGCGCGCTCAGTGTGTGTGTGAGGGGGAAGGCAGGAGCGCCGGGCCAGTGTGTGAAGGGGATGGCGGGAGCGCTCAGTGTGTGTGGAGGGGGAAGGCGGGAGCGCGCCCAGTGTGTGTGTGTGAGAGGGGGAAGGCAGGAGCGCGCCCAGTGTGTGTGAAGGGATGGCGGGAGCGCGCCTGAAGTGTGTGTGAGGGGAAGGCGGGGAGCGCGCCTGCGTGTGGGGTGTTGAAGGCGGGAGCGCGCTCAGTGTGTGTGAGGGGAAGGCGGGAGCGCGCTCAGTGTGTGTGAGGTGTTAAAGGCGGGAGCGCGCTCAGTGTGTGTGTGTGAGGGGAAGGCGGGAGCGCGCTCAGTGTGTGTGAAGGGATGGCGGGAGCGCGCTCAGTGTGTGTGAGGTGTTGAAGGCGGGAGCGCGCTCAGTGTGTGTGTGAGGGGAAGGCGGGAGCGCGCTCAGTGTGTGACGTGATACGGGTGTTCGCGCCCCCCGCTGCCCCTCCCCCATTGCGCGCGCTCGCGGTTCCCAGGCTCACAGTTCCCGTGTGGAGATATCCAAGATGTCCGCCGGCGCGCCCTGGACCCCCCTCAGCCTGTGACACGGCGGCGGTTGCTGGTCACTGTGACAGAGCCGGGAGAAGGAGGAGGAGGAGGCGGGACACCCTTCTGTCATCAACAGCCAGGGCCCATCCTCACCTCCTGCCCGGGGCCCGGGACACCATCGTCAGCGAGCGGGGAGCCCGGAAACTGAGCCGCAACAAAGAGGTAAACCGCCATCACCAACCGCCATCAGCCGCCACCAACCGCCATGACACTGCCGCCATTAACCCCGCGCCTGCCGGACCGCCAGACAGCTCGGCCCTGCACGGGTTAACACACAGGGCCACAGGGGGCGGGGCCAGGGCCCTGACCGCCACACAAAGGGTTAAACTCCATATAATCCATCATTACAGAGAGTGAGAGGGTTAAACTCCATATAATCCATCATTACAGAGAGAGTGAGAGGGTTAAACTCCATATAATCCATCATTACAGAGAGTGAGAGGGTTAAACTCCATATAATCCATCAATACAGAGAGAGAGAGGGTTAAACTCCATATAATCCATCAATACAGAGAGTGAGAGGGTTAAACTCCATATAATCCATCATTACAGAGAGAGTGAGAGGGTTAAACTCCATATCATCCATCATTACAGAGAGAGTGAGAGGGTTAAACTCCATATAATCCATCATTACAGAGAGAGAGAGAGGGTTAAACTCCATATAATCCATCATTACAGAGAGAGTGAGAGGGTTAAACTCCATATAATCCATCAATACAGAGAGTGAGAGGGTTAAACTCCATATAATCCATCATTACAGAGAGAGTGAGAGGGTTAAACTCCATATCATCCATCATTACAGAGAGAGTGAGAGGGTTAAACTCCATATCATCCATCATTACAGAGAGAGTGAGAGGGTTAAACTCCATATCATCCATCATTACAGAGAGAGTGAGAGGGTTAAACTCCATATCATCCATCATTACAGAGAGAGTGAGAGGGTTAAACTCCATATAATCCATCAATACAGAGAGTGAGAGGGTTAAACTCCATATAATCCATCATTACAGAGAGAGTGAGAGGGTTAAACTCCATATAATCCATCATTACAGAGAGTGAGAGGGTTAAACTCCATATAATCCATCATTACAGAGAGAGTGAGAGGGTTAAACTCCATATAATCCATCATTACAGAGAGAGTGAGAGGGTTAAACTCCATATAATCCATCATTACAGAGAGAGAGAGGGTTAAACTCCATATAATCCATCATTACAGAGAGAGTGAGAGGGTTAAACTCCATATAATCCATCATTACAGAGAGAGTGAGAGGGTTAAACTCCATATAATCCATCATTACAGAGAGTGAGAGGGTTAAACTCCATATAATCCATCATTACAGAGAGAGAGAGGGTTAAACTCCATATAATCCATCATTACAGAGAGTGAGAGGGTTAAACTCCATATAATCCATCATTACAGAGAGAGTGAGAGGGTTAAACTCCATATAATCCATCATTACAGAGAGAGTGAGAGGGTTAAACTCCATATAATCCATCATTACAGAGAGTGAGAGGGTTAAACTCCATATAATCCATCATTACAGAGAGAGAGAGGGTTAAACTCCATATAATCCATCATTACAGAGAGTGAGAGGGTTAAACTCCATATAATCCATCAATACAGAGAGAGTGAGAGGGTTAAACTCCATATAATCCATCATTACAGAGAGTGAGAGGGTTAAACTCCATATAATCCATCAATACAGAGAGAGAGAGGGTTAAACTCCATATAATCCATCAATACAGAGAGTGAGAGGGTTAAACTCCATATAATCCATCATTACAGAGAGAGTGAGAGGGTTAAACTCCATATCATCCATCATTACAGAGAGAGTGAGAGGGTTAAACTCCATATCATCCATCATTACAGAGAGAGTGAGAGGGTTAAACTCCATATCATCCATCATTACAGAGAGAGTGAGAGGGTTAAACTCCATATCATCCATCATTACAGAGAGAGTGAGAGGGTTAAACTCCATATCATCCATCATTACAGAGAGAGTGAGAGGGTTAAACTCCATATAATCCATCAATACAGAGAGTGAGAGGGTTAAACTCCATATAATCCATCATTACAGAGAGAGTGAGAGGGTTAAACTCCATATAATCCATCAATACAGAGAGAGTGAGAGGGTTAAACTCCATATAATCCATCATTACAGAGAGAGTGAGAGGGTTAAACTCCATATAATCCATCATTACAGAGAGAGTGAGAGGGTTAAACTCCATATAATCATTACAGAGAGAGTGAGAGGGTTAAACTCCATATAATCCATCAATACAGAGAGAGTGAGAGGGTTAAACTCCATATAATCCATCAATACAGAGAGAGTGAGAGGGTTAAACTCCATATAATCCATCAATACAGAGAGAGTGAGAGGGTTAAACTCCATATAATCCATCAATACAGAGAGAGTGAGAGGGTTAAACTCCATATAATCCATCAATACAGAGAGAGTGAGAGGGTTAAACTCTGTGTGATCAATCAATGCAGAGTGTGAGAGCAATGAGAGGGTTAAATTCCATGTAATCAATCAATACAGAGTGTGAGAGGGTTAAACTGTCATCCATTATAACAGAGTATGAGAGCAATGAGAAGGTTAAACTGCGTGTAATCAATACCGTGTGAGAGCAACAGGAAGGGTTAAACTCCGTGTGATCCATCATTAGACAGTGAGAGCAATGAGAGGGTTACCAACGTGTAATCCATCATTACAGAGTGTGAGAGCAATGAGGGTGTTAAACCCCATGTGATCAATAGTGTGAGGGGGTTAAACCCCATGTGATCATCAATACAGAGTGTGAGGGCAATATGAAGGGTTACCCTCATGTGATCCATCATTGCAGAGTGTGAGAGCAACGAGAGGGGTTAAACCACATATGATCCATCATTTGAGTGTGGGAGCAACATGAAGGGTTAAACCCACATAATACATCAATACAGAGTGTGAGAGCAACAAAAAGGTTAAATTACATGTAATCCATCATTACAGATTGTGAGAGGGTTAAACCTCAGGCAGTTCATCAATACAGAGAGTGAGAGCAACACAAAGGGTTAAACCCCGTGCAATCCATTATTACAGAGCATGAGGGGCTTGAACCCCGTGCAATCCATTTTTACAGAGCGTGAGGGGCTTGAACCCCGTGCAATCCATCATTACAAAGCGTGAGGGGATTGAACCCCATGCAATCCATCATTACAGAGTGTGAGGGGCTTGAACCCCATGCAATCCATTATTACAGAGTGTGAGGTGCTTGAACCCCGTGCAATCCATTATTACAGAGCATGAGGGGCTTGAACCCCGTGCAATCCATTTTTACAGAGCGTGAGGGGCTTGAACCCCGTGCAATCCATTTTTACAGAGCGTGAGGGGCTTGAACCCCGTGCAATCCATCATTACAAAGCGTGAGGGGATTGAACCCCATGCAGTCCATCATTACAGAGTGTGAGGGGCTTGAACCCCATGCAATCCATTATTACAGAGTGTGAGGGGCTTGAAGCCCATGCAATCCATCACTACAGAGTGTGAGGGGCTTGAAGCCCATGCAATCCGTTATTACAGGGTGTGAAGGGGTTAAACCCCATGCAATCCATCACTACAGAGTGTGAGGGGGTCCCATGCAATCCATCATTACAGAGTGTGAGGGGGTTAAACCCCATGCAATCCATCACTACAGTGTGAGAGCAATGAGAGAGGTTAAACTCCATGTAATCCAACAATACAGAGAGCAAGAGTAACGAGAGGGGTTAAACCCCAGTTAAGCCATCAATACAGAGTGTGAGTGCAATGAGAGGGGATAAACCCCATGTAATCCATGAATACAGAGTGTGTGAGGGGTTACACCCCACATAATTCATCAATACAAATTGTGAGAGCAATCCGCTTTGTCACCCAGGCAGGGTATTCATTTAACTTTATTTATACTGCACTAGGCCTTGAGAGCCTTAAAAGTTATCCTGCTTTAATATAAATATAATAAAACAATGCAATCATTGTTCAGTTATTATAAACATGATGTATCCAGCTGCAGATCTGTTCTAGGATTACTCCATTTTGAAGAAGTGAATAGTCATAGCGAGTGCATGTTTTATCGCTATGGAGAGAGATGACTTTAAAGGGAAATGTGAGAGCAAAATCCCATGGCTTTAGGGAGTGTTTAATATGATATGCAAATCATGTTATTGGTGTGGTCACCATGAGGCAGTACATGTATTAAATTTAATTACAAATCTCTGACTCATCCTCAAAATGGGGGAAACATATCCATCTTTGAATATCTGTTCAATGTGTCTTTATTTATTTTTTTTATTTTTTTTATACATGATCTTCTGCATGTATTACTCTGTTGTGCTGTTATGGATTAGAGATGGCGGTGCATTTTTTTTTTTTCTTCTTCTTCTCAGTTTGAATGAACAATTTCCTTTCCTGTGTGGAACATTTGTTAATGCTTGGGATAGCAATTTTATTTAAAAATCTGGGACACACGTTGCTTAAGCTCTTTGCACCATGCCGGACCATGTTTCCATCATAAATATTGCAATGAACACATGCCCTGTTAGGTTGTTGAACAAGCAAGGTATCTACAGCATGATCATTTTTATTTGTCTGGTCTGTGTGGAGACCATTAATGTTCCATTTCTTTCCTTTGGTATTTGTAAAGGAAATATGTGTACTAGAACATTCATATTCTTATCAAGCAAGAGATGTAGAAATATACATTTTTGACTGCACAGGAAAGGGAAGCCAGTTGGCTTGTCTGACCTGCCCATGCATTTTAGTCTTGAATTTTAATTTCCAGATAAGAACGAGTGATTTTTTTTTTTATTTTTTTTTATCTCAAACCAAACAAGCAGGTTAGGTTATGGTCGGTAATTTCAATAAGCCCATCATATCTACAATCTTGGAGAATTTCTCTTTTTGGTCCAACAATATTGTGCGGTGTAATGCTTTGCCTTAGGTTTTTGTGAGTTCTAGTTCAGCTCATTGCATAATACAGTAAAGCTATTGCTATGAGAGAGCACAGCTCTTCAAACGAGATTTTTCATTTATTTTTGCATATTTCTTTATGCTTAAAATGAATCTGATGCATTTTGGACTACCCTTTATATTTTCCAACTTAATATTTTTTTATTTGTATTTACAAACAAGCTATATGGCTTATATTGCCTCCGTGCAACTTCCAACCAAAACATTAATCTCCAAAGAACTGTACTCCAGATGAGTTTGTAATGGGTTTCAATGCAATACAATATTCTTTATTGTGTCCAATCACATAAGTCAATGTTTCAGTCCTTGTATCACATTGACTTACTTGATCGGACACAATAAAGACTATTGAAACCCATTACAGCGCAGTTCTTTAAAAATGTGTTTGTGTGTGTGTATGTATATATATATATATATATATATATATATATATATATATATATATTTTTTGTTTGTGGTCGCAACTTAATAGTATATGTAATATTGTAGGTGGTGAAAGTTGGTGGTGCTGAAAACAACATACGGGTAGGCCTGTAATAAAAGAGGGCAAAAAGTATTGATGAAAAACACACTTTATTGCATACTTGTCAAGCTAAACACTTAAATGCTTTCCTTGGCTCTTTCTCGGGTTGCGGTATGTAAGTATTGTAAACAAATGACTTCCATCTACCCAATCTTTTAATAAAATGTACTGTTGTGTCCATATTGGATGCTGAAGAGGCTGTTCCTATTCTGGAGTGTCCAGAAGAGGGGTTATAATTCAATCTTAACAGCAATGTTTTAACATAGAATATAAACTTTGATGTGGTAAGTGGTTGTCCGTGGAGAAGTATTAGAGAAGAGTTAAATGGGTAGCTGTTGCGCGTGGTTAGAAATTAGTCTAATATTTTAACAGGACACCAGTTATCTGTAGGGAAAATAGGGATTGTGGAAGGATGGTTGGTTTGGTTAGATTTTGAAGTTTTTAAATGAGGGAATGTAGTAGTCATTGTGTTTGACCATGTCTGATATTTTAAGGCTTGCATTGATTTCGGATTGATGTACTATGGTGAACTCTCTAGGTCTAAGGAAGTTGTAGAAAGCAATGTAAATTGCTACCTTAATAACCGAATTAGTGTGTTTATCGAAGGGGTTAGTATCCACAATGTTGCTTAGGTTCCTGAGTATAGGACCGTCTATAGGTTGTGTAGTGGTTGTTGGAGGGCGGACTGTTTTATTGATTAATTTGAGGATAATTTTGATGGAGTATGAGGAAAGAATAGGCGCGTGATTGGGAAAATTGGTGAGTACATGATGTTGCATGCCTGTAAGATATAATTTGATGGTGTTATGTGCTAATTTAAGATGTAGGTGACAGTAAGAGGCAAAAGCCACAGATCTTTGTGACGGGGTGTTGGACTCTTGGTTGACAGAGAGCAAAATACGTGTGGCCCTGACTGTAAACCTGCAGAAGGGTGTGCGAAGCAGCTAACTATGAGATGGGCCGTTGGGCGAAACCTTCATGGTGAGGTGGGGGTTGGCCTTGCGGGACCATAAACTAATTTAATTTACACTAGGGTCAGCACCTAGCCCTAAAAGCCAGTTATTTTTCTCTAGTCGGGGGTTGTCTCTTTCCTTATTGAGCGTAAGCGTACAGGTATGTACCTAAGAGAAGTGAAACATTGGAAGGAGAGCTAAGCAATACACCTAAGAAGGAGAAAACCATCAATTAGGTTAAGGCTTGTGGTTTATTAAAAGAAAAGAGGGAAAAATGAGTGCTTGAATGAATCTAACTAGAATGTACCCTTAATTGATAAGATGAGACTGCAGTTTAATACAGGTCTGAGTGTGGCCTACGAGTAAAGATGCTACGTGTAGGTATTAATTTAGAGTAATGTTAACCCAAGGAGGAAGAAAAAAAGGAGAGTTAAATTATCTGTACCTGTTGGCGTGGATATCGACTTCTGAATCTTACTACGCTTATTGGTGAACACTTATAGGTGGAAAAGACAGATATTACAACATAAAGTCAACTCCCTGCTAGAAGTCTTGAAATCCTATAAAAACGTTTACTGTCTGTAAATGGGTAACATATGCGTATTAAGGACCTTACGTGGATCTAAAAAATACTAGAGACTAGCCCCTATTTGACTTGGATTACGAACGTAACGAAAAAAGGCCTTGTGATATTGAGCTTAACGTAAGAAGCGTAATGTTGAATACCTGAGACACAAATATTCGCAGCAGCAATGTCAACAATCCTTTGTTACTGGTTCGATTTGATGTACCTAAAACTGTACATGTGTGCGAAATTGCACGAATGGACTTAACCAACCTAATCGTTATTAGCCGAACAGACACGAATAACGTAAAAATTAAATATTTAAAACGAAATCAACTGAACGTCATGTTTAAACATATGAAAGTAAAAAGTAGAATATTAAAACAAAATCAAGCGAATGACTTGTTTAAACATACGTATGTAACAAATGAACATGAGAAGGGAGCCAATCCCCGCGTTTTTAGGCCCGAACGTGGGAATAAACCGAATGGTGATTCCCGACGTGTACAAACGTATGCGTGCCGTGTCTGGAAGAGGCCAAGTTTCTGAATTGGAGCCAGAAGTGGGGAACGACAAAGGCTGTCAGACTAATGCTCATATATATTTATTTATATTCCTGGCAAAGTGAGGGGTAGGATGAGCTGCATCCTGCAATTAGATAATGAAGGTAGACTGGATGGGACTCCTTGCACCATAACATTCCTCATAAGCCTTTGATGATATGAGAGAATCATTTCATTAAAACTAGGTGTCTTAATCCACTCAACCAAGAAGGAAGAGATGTGACATGGAGACAGACTGAGAAGGCAGAGAAGAACCATTTGACCCATCTGTTGTTCTCATGCAGAAATCCTAGGTTAATGGGTTTATTTTATAAATTGGGAATGGTGGAAAAATGACAGAATTTCAAAATTGAGATCAGAATTGCATGATCTGGTTTCCTTCCCTAAGAGAGAGAGAAATCATATAGTGGTCTGTTTAAACACAAACCCAGCACACAAACTCTCAGCATGCTTTTTAGTTGTATGGAAAATGTGTTGGGAAAATATGACATTTACTCTGTGTTTAATATGCTTTGTTTGGCTCTGTAGAATTAGAATATGGCAGGTGTTTAAGTGGTACAGGAGAAATGGAAAATTATTGGTACAGCATTCTAAGTACAATAATGCTTCAAAAAATATTTTTTTTTCGAGAATATTGTAAGTTAAATAATCTACAAATTACATTGAATAATTTACACTCTTTATACAATCAGTTCCATCTTAAAGGGACATTATAGCGTTGCAAATAAATTTTTAAAACTATAGTGGCCCCCTTTGCCTCTTGTTTAAGATCCGACATCAATTAACAAAAAGAGGGGGAGAATGTTTTGCTCACCTTTTTCTATTCCAACCCCTTGATCTGTCTCACGTGAAGCCATGCCGACTAGGGATCGACCGATATTGATTTTTTTAGAGCCGATACCGATAATCTGTTAACTTGCAGGCCGATAGCCGATAACTTGCCGATATTCTGTACATTTACCATTTTGAAAAAATAAACAAAAAGGTAAATGCACAAAATATAAAAGCCACATGCACTGGATGCAGTGTGTTTACACAGTGGAGCTTTGTATATTTGTGTAGTGTGTATATATAATGAATGCAGGGTGTGTTTGTGTAGTGTGTATAGTTAATGCAGTGACTGTGTAGTGTGTATATAATGAATGCAGAGTGTTTGTTTGTGTAGTGTGTGGTGTATAAAAGGAATGCAGTGTGTGTGTGTGTAGTGTGTGTAAAGTGATTGCAGTGTTTAGTGTGTATAGCGAATGCAGTGTGTGTAGTGTGCGTATAGTGAATGCAGTGTGTTTGTATAGTGTGTGTAAATAATGAATACAGTGTGTAGTGTGTGTGTATATAATTTAGTGTTTGTAGTGTGTCTGTGTATATATAATGCAGTGTGTGTAGTGTATATAATGCAGTGTGTGTAGTGTGTGCATTATATAGACACACACACTGCATTATATAGACACACACACTGCATTATATAAACACACACTAAATTATATAGACACACTACACTATATACAAACTCTGCGTTATATACAGAGTGTGTAGTGTGTGTGTATATAATGCAGTGTGTGTGTTTTCCTGAAGGGATGTGATTTGTGTAAAATGGGGGGGAGGCATTTTTTTTATTTTAATTTTTAATGTTTGTTTTATTTTTTAATATTTATGTTTTTTTTATGCTTATTTTTAATATTTGTTTTATTATTTTTGTTTTCCCCCCTCCCTGCTTGTTACCTGGTCAGGGAGGGGGGATATGACAGTCCCTGGTGGTCCAGTGGCATTGGCTGAGCTGGGGGATGGGGGGGGCGCTGGTAGCGTTTACTTACCTCCCCTGCAGCTCCTCCAGCTCCCAGTGTAAATCTCGCGGCCCTTAGTGCCCGACGGCCGCGGGTCTCGCGAGACTTACACTGGGAGCTGGAGGAGCTGCAGGGGAGGTAAGTAAACGCTACCTGCGTCCCCCGCCCCAGGACCACCGGGCTTGTAATGAGCCTGGCGGTCCTAGGAGGTATTATCGGCAATATCGGTATCTATATTGGCCGATACCGATATTGCCGAAAATACCGAATATCGGCCGATTATATCGGTAAAACCGATAATCGGTCGATCCCTAATGCCGACTCTTCTTTTTCATCCAATTCTCTTCATAGGGAGATGTGATGAGAAGCACATGAGTGCCAGGATAAATCTGCCATTCTCGGGTCAAGAATCCTAGTTAGTTGCAAAATTGAAAGTGCTTCAAACTGTTTTTTTTTGTTTTTTTGTGCCTTCTTTTGGATCAACAGAAAAAAAACAGATGTGAGGGAGGCTGAACTTGATGTACACATGTCTCTTTTCAGGCTATGTAAGTGTCCAGTATTGCTCTCCTCCACTGAAAATGGAGATTGGCTGTGAGAACTAAATTTGATTCTGACACCGAAAGTGGCCTCTGTGCCTTTAGTTGTCCTTTAATTATATCATTTTGGAGCATATATGCTGCCCCGGAAGATCTGTAAATTTAAACATTTTGCAATTGTCATGTTAGGCAGTCAAAGCATGTCCAACACCACTGGAAATACAAAAATAAAAATAAAAATTAACAAGCTTCATGAATATATCATGGCATGCATGCATTCATGTGTCATTCTTGGAAGTGCCGCAGTTGCAAATGACAGAAAATAAGCAAACAACTCTATGTAGCAATCATTTTTCTGGAGGAAAACGTTTACAAGGCGTTATCTGCATGATGTGTGAGCCCAGCCTGATAGTTCAATATTTATTCTAACTCTTCAGATCTTTTTCACTGAATATCCAGGTTTTTCTTTTATGTGGTAGGACTATCCTATTTGTCTGACTTTATGAGAGTCTCTACTTTTTCTTTATTGAGTAAGGCTGTTGAATTTGGACCTCTCTCCTTACCCTTGATTGCTCATGTAAACTGCAAATTTCTCCTTGCTAAAGTATCATGCTGATGTCACTGTATTTGTCAATGTATTTGAAATCCGCATGTACTCCAAATGATGTGAAATGGGGCCTTTGGTTAGGTACTGTCTTAGTATACCTTCAAACAGCTGATCTACTGCCACATCCTCTTTTAATAAATCATACAAGATGAACAAACCTTCAATATAGTTAATATTTTTCTTTAACAATAAATGCATTTATCATTTAAAAAAATGTTTATATTAAAACAAGCCACGTATACACGGTGAGAGGGGTGCTTCAGCCAGGTGCACACCATGATTACTGGGACCCGGGGTTACTCACAATACTGTATAACTAGCCAACCCGCGCACTGCTGACTCAGCCCTACAGGCGTTGCTGCGGGAGCCGTCCTCGGGGGGAGGGGGTTTGTCGCTCAGGCTGGGCCTCGCCGCTGGGGCCTTCCCAAACTGTAATGAACTTTCAGGGAGCATGCGGGGGGGGCAGCAGCGTGCCACCGGACGGGAAACAACGGAAAACATCTGATGAAGGTGGACCCAGGGACACGATACCTGGGAAGGTTCAGGTACTGGGATCGGTACTTATGGGGAGATATCAACACTACGGAGGCATAAGGGGGGAACCAGATTGGTTGAGGTGACTGGGGAGGGGAAAGCGCTACTGGGTCCTGGAAGAGGGTATAGGCACCACCACCTCGCCACCTATGCACTATAAGCCAGATCTGCAGGGCACTCCGGGAGACTCAAAGAGGTATGGGGGTGTATAAAGGAGGATAAAGGTGTAGAGGGACTGTCAGGCAAACTCTAGTTCCCCAAACGTTAGGGCACACGAGACGCCATAACCAACAGCCAAGGCCAGACACACTTAAAGCCATGTCAATGTGTTTGTACTGTTACTTTTAACTGTTTTTTTGTTAACCTATTGCGATAGCTAATGAGTAGGAACTGTTTACCCATGTAGGCCCTATGGCCGCATTAGTAGATGGTGAAGATTGCAACACACAATCATATTTTGATTTATTAAAGCCGAACAGGGGCACCGCGAATTAGTGACGGTTCATTCGCAGGTCGACAGGTTTGAGCGGCGCGCACTGAACACAACCGCAGGCTGCACGGAGGAAACACCCCACAGGAAACAGCGTCTACAGGAAGGTGAGCGAGGTGCACAGGCCACGGGTGGCACTGTGCGTATCCGGTCCCCGACGTGTATTCCTAGTAGTCACATCTGCGTGACGAACCCCACCGAAATACCCACACATCTCTTCTCTCTTAGGCACTTCTACATTCATATACCCCACCCCTCTTTTTCTCATCCTACCCCGCTCTTCCCCTACACCCTGCCATAACGGCCCTACCATACCCCCACTGCCTAAAACAGTTAGGGACTCCTACAGACATACCTTGCAATCAACACAGTTAAGATACGATGGCACTGTCACCGGCCCATCTTACTATCCTCACCATAAACGCCCAGGGGCTCAATAAGCCAGAGAACTGCTCCAGGGCGCTGATGGACTTCCACACCAAAAGGGCTTCAATAGTCATGGAAACACACTTTAGAGAGGGGGACAGACCCAAGCTGACCAACCATCACTTCCCAAAGGGTTACTACAGCGATTACCACGGGGGGGCAATCCAGGCGAACAGCAATATTGCTCAGCAAGAAAATAGTTTCAGGAGGAGGGCTGCAGGTACCTGTTCTTAAAGGGGTTGATCGTGGGGCAGACGTACACTTTCGAAAACATATACACCCCTAACCGAAAACAATTTAGATTCCTTTCACAAACTCTGCGTAGGCTCCAAACCTTTGCAGAAGGGGGTGAATTCAACATAGCACTGGACCCCAAATGGGACTGCTCCACGGGCACCTCTCATACTCCCACCCAACACCTGTGCACCATCAAATCCCTCCTGAGGTGACAATGCCCAATGGACTGTTGGAGAGCCCACCACCCGGACAAGAAGGACTACACCTTCTCCCACCCACACAATTCCTACACTTGACTAGACCATTTCTACGCGACGCACTATACTCTCCCCTTAGTGGTAGACGCAATGCACGGAGTGGCGACATGGTCGGACCATGCCCTGGTGGTGATAACCCTTATATCACCCTTTTTCCGACACACAACATTTAAGTGGGGGCTCAACGACTACCTCTTATCCCGACCAGACCTGATCATGCGTATAGGGGATCACAACCGGGGATGTTCACCATAAGGTAGCTGCGTATGAAGACGACATCCCTTTCTTTGTGTCCACACCAGAAATCACACTACCCAAAATTTTAAAGGTCTTTAGGGAATTCGGTGATATTTCCAACTTCAAGATCAATTTCTCTAAACCCTATATCATGAACGTCACGACACCAAGCAATCGTGCTTACCCCCTACACCGTAGCTTCCCGCTCCAGTGGTCCGACCACAAAATTCGATACCTGGGCACATGGTTGACTAAACGAAGTGGGGATCTATTTAAGGAAAACCTTACCCCTTTGCTGGAGATATTCAAACGAGATGAGGGATTGGGCCTAACCACACATATTGTGGTTGGGGAGGGTCCAGGTTATAAAAATGAACTTTCTCCTGCGCCTCTATTTGTTACAAGCTATCCCCATCCTGATCCCAAGCCCCTCTTCAACTCCTTTCAATCCACTATGGGTTGGTACATCTGAAACGGGAACAGACCAAGGATGCAAATCTCCACACTCATGCTGCCCAAAGAGAGGGGAGGCCTGGCATTGCCGAACTTCTACCTTTACTATGTGGCCACCAACCTACAAAGGGTGATGGAGTGGATGAAAACAAAGGTCCTCAAACTATGGAAGGTGGTGGAGGACGGGCCCCATTGCCCGGTCTGAACCCTGCCCGGTCTGAACCCTGCCCTGTGGCCCAAGAGACCCTGAGGGATGCAAGCTATCCCCATACATGAGACACACTCTGAAAGTGTGGCGAGGGGCCTCCAGAACACACAGCCTGGCGCCCTATCCCTCCCCTCTGCTCCCACTGACGCACAATGAGGACTTGCCACCAGGACTAGACCCGAACAAGTTCCAGGACATCATACCGACTCCCTCCCCACGCCTCTATCACATACTCACTCAAAACAGATGTAAGACGCTATCGGACCTGTTAGGTGAGGACACACCTACCTTCATACATCACTTCAAGCACGCGCAACTAGTTAACTTTAACACACTACCCAAAGGAAGCGCACTCACACGAGATCACACCACATTCGAAACATGCATACACCCAGACCACCAGGCACACAGGATCTCCTACCTGTACTCGATTTTGCAGGAGGAGACCCCCTGGAAAAACCTCTCTTCTTGGCTACTAACCACAGCTAAGGAAGGCTTAAACTCAGATACCATCAGGACGAATAGGATTGAAAGACAGTACCCACAATGTGAGCTCCCCTCCCCCACCTGCCCCTCTCCACTCGTGGAGTACCAGACGCCCCTCCCTCCACACCTCCAATAGTCCAAAACTCCCCCTCACATCCCTTTTCTTCTCTCCCCACCCTCAGTTAAACCCAGTCCCTAAATGGTTTTTAGGGATGATATCCCGACCTACCCCGAATTTAGGAGGATACCTCTCCCTGCAATGAGAACCTCACACAAGACCATCCAGAAGTGCCTCTCACACAAGACCATACAGAAGCGGCTGGAGGCCAAAACCTCATCCAATCAAGCGTATCCAGCACTTCTACTCGAGACACACTATACATGCCTACCTGACAAGACGAGGTTATATGACAACTTAGAGGTATCGCACCACAGAGGGGACGCAGGGCAAGAGGGGGGGCTTACCCGATTAAGGCTGACGTAAGTTTGTGACATGGCCCTGGATAGGAAACGAGACCTGCAGGTCAGTCCGCAAATCACTACCTTCTTAGGTGACCCGCGACCTGCGAGTCTTACTGTTAGGAAACTAATTGATCCAGTACGTAGGGTTGTCACACTAAGGACTAATTGGTAACGTATTACCAGGCCTTAGAATGGCCGGACTTAACGCACCAAAGAATAGTCAGTATACTTGCCGAGGTCAGGGGACACAGAATGAGACACAACAATAAGGGAGAGCCAGAAGTCAGGGATACCAGAATGCAGGGAAGTCAATGAAGCCAAAATCAAAAACCAAAATATAAACCCTCAGAAACACACTCTCTGACAACCACTAGGGAAACCACGACAGGGCAATGAGGAAAAGTAAATTTGAGTTTAAAGAAGTGCTTTATAGTTATGATTGGCCGAAAACGACCTTTAACCCCAAAACGTTGCACGCGTCTCACGCTTGGCGTCATGCGAACACGGCGACGTTAACGTGAGCGGACATGGGGGTAGAATTTGGCGTGGATCCGCAGTGGCTGGTGTCCTTCAACATGCTGCAAGAGTCAGTTATACAGACGCATGGCCGCTGGGCGCAGATCCTACAAGGTGAGGAGGAATGTGTTACACTTACCAGGCGAAATAATATCTCAAATGCTTCATGAGACCTGTGAGACATAGTGTTGTACATTTTGATATGTCTTTACATCATGATTGAGGCCTGCGTGCCAAAAAGCCATCCACTACAACAAGGACCTGCAAGTCTGCACTGTGCTGATTCATAATTTTCCTTTTGTTAATCCTATCAGAGACCTGCGTGTCTCTTGGTTTTTGCCACATGCTTGACATGTGATCAATGACTTGAATCGAAAATAATAAAAAGTATATTTACAAAAATATACAAAAACAAGCCACGTATGCCATCAAATTTCCATAACCATGTTAAAAAACAAAACAAAAGTAGAAATGTTCAATTATTTGTGGTATACTGGCAGCACCTTTACATACGGTTGGCATAACAGTCAAAACCAGCAGAAAATTCAGTCCATAAGATAGAAAACTACCTTTTACCTATACATTTGCTTTCAGTTTGGATGGCACAATGTGTAGATTATATTGTACGGTCTTTTGAGTGGCACCAAGTCATACCAAGTACAAGTGCAGTTTAAAAAGGGCCTGACAAATTTGAAATCTAGGAGCCAGCTAAAAAAAAGTTAGCGTCAGAGGTTTCAAAACTAGCGAAGTTTAATTTCTGAGAAATATTCAATTCTTAAAGGGACACTAGTCACCAGAACCACTACAGCTTAATGTAGTTGTTCTGGTGCCTGTAGCCTTTTCAATGTAAACAATGCCTTTTCAGAGAAGAGACGTGCTCGCAGATACTGACTGGGAGAGGCGGCGTGCACACCCACATACTGACGGGGAGATCCACACACATTTCCATTTTAATTTGAATCCACCCAGGTTCCCTACATTTAGGAGAGCTGAGTGGACTTTCCCTGGGGTCCAGTGGGGCTGCTCGCTCATCCTGCGTGTGAGGGAGCAGTGATCTTCATGCGGCTCCTCTCTGCTCCCTGAAGTGATGCAGAGAGCTGGAACGACGTCATATTCCGGCTCCCGACATAATTAAACAGTGCAAGTGAGCAGAGGGGAGCCGCTTGAAGATGCCCTAGCAATGCTCCCCTGGGCGGCCGCCTGCACACTGCCCCGGCCCGCCATCCACGCTCCTCAAGGTGACCGGCCGACTCCTTTGTTCCCCCAACCTGCCTTTAGCTAAAGGGCTTTAAATCCCAGGCGCTAGGGCAAAATTTCTAGTCGCAGTGGCGACCTGGGATTTGTCGAGCCGTGGTTTAAAATGGTAAAATAATTTTGCAAAATACATTTTGTTTGTAACATTGTTAAAGACTGTCAACTTTTTCCCCTCCCCCTGTAAGGGGTAAACCCAAAAAAAGGCTTACTACCTTTTATTCATGACATACCCATGCCAGCCTTTCCAGGGCTGGCCCCCAACTCCATGTCAGAGATCATCAATACTGATTCTCAGCCAATCCAGTGCTTTCCCATAGCCAATCCAATGCTTTCCCATTTCTCCTAGAGATGCATTAAATCAATGCATCTATGTGGGGAGCATGCAGCATCGCCATGCAGATGTTATACACTTGGAAGTGGATACGCTGAACGTAGGTGCTCCACGCAATGCAGAACTGAGAAGTGGGCACGGCAAGGGAACAGGAGCAGCACTTGTAACCCAGGTTTATTCAACGTGTGAATTGTTAATTTTTGTTTGTATATGTTTTAATTTCTCACATTAACTGTTTACACAAAATTTCTTCCGGTTTCTCCATAATATAATTTATATTTTGGTTGGAAGTTGCACCGAGGCAAGGTAGAAGATGGAAGAGTGGGTGCTAGGCCTATATATATATATATATATCTATATCTATATCTATATCTATAGATATCTCTATATATATATATATAGATATCTCTATATATATAGATATCTCTATATATATAGATATCTCTATATATATAGATATCTCTATATATATAGATATCTCTATATATATATATAGATATCTCTATATATATATATATAGATATCTCTATAAATATTTATCTATATAAAAATCTATCTATTGGGCCCAGCACCCACTTTTCCATCTTGTTCTTTGCCTCGGTGCAACTTCCAACCAAAATATTAATCTCCAAAGAACTGCACTCCAGATAAGATTGTAATAGGTTTCAATACAATATTCTTTATTGTGTCCACATAAGTCAATGTTTCAGTCCTTGTATCAGATTGACTTGTGTGATTGGACTCCAGCTGTAGTGGTTCTGGTGACTATAGTGTCCATGTAATGTTGCTAATAGGTCTAAAAGATTGCTGTCTTATTGTTCTCGCAGCCACAGACCACAGAAAATTTCTGCATAGTGCCATCTGCACTTGGTCATAAATCTGCCATTTTCAACTCCCAACCCTGTTATTCAGGTTGTCATCAGCTTCTCAAGTATTTATTCATTAAAAAGAGGTCGTAGCAGATGCTCAAGCCAGAATAAGAACAACCAGCTCATCACATCAACAGCAGTCTAGAATTCCTTCAAAAACCATGCACTGTTTTTAGCTGGGAGGAGTTATTTTTTGTTTGTTTTTTTGCCTACAAGAAGAGTCCAGTTTCTGGACATAATTCTGGATACAATTTATCAGAAGATATGACCTGTAGAAAAACACATAAAGATAAAACTGAGTCTATATCATCTTAATTTATTTCCATTTTGCTCCATAAAAATGGACATGAAACCTTTGGGCTTTTTGACTGGTTTGTACAAAAGCAGGCAGATATTCTTCTAAAAAGTCAATAGTTTTAAATATGCTAGTTAGCACAGATCCATCAGAGTGGTTGGGACATCCAGAATGTTTTCATGGTCCATGATTCTGGACCTCAGAGTATCTAACCTGGTGAGATTTAGAAGTTGTGCAGTAAGAACATTTGAAAGATATCTTTAAAGGGACACTATAGGCACCCAGACCACTTCAGCTCATTGAAGTAGTCTGGGCACAGTGATCCTGTCCCCTTAACCCAGCAATAGTAATTATTGCAATGACTGATAAACTGCAATAATTTCCTTGCAGGGTTAAGAAAACTTTGTATTCCTAGCACTATAGTATATCTTTAAGGAAAATAGGTTAATGTTCAGTTGGGCAATATGACAGTGGGGCCTGTTTAAGTAGGCATGGAGGAATAAGATCTCTAAAACCAGACAGACCTTTTTGCCTAAATCATGTGTCTGGCAGAGCTTCCTCTTAAATTAGAGGTGACTGTGTTTGTTCCTGCTTTCAAAACCAGAGTCATATCTTCAAAGAGTAACTGTCTAGATTTTTGTTTTTGTATTGAACTCAGAATATTTTTAGGAAAGCTGACCATTCGTTGCATACCATGGTCATTGGAAAGGATCTGTGGCAGCTATTGTAAAGTGGATCCTTTAAAAGCATGCTCTATAGCTTATATTGCTTCAGGTCATCCGATTTGAGTTTGAAACACATTCTACAAGGACAAAGTCCACTTCTTGGGGTGGTAGATTGACAACCCGTGAATAGATTTGTAAGTCTGCCACGTTGTCTTCAGTCCAGTTATTTAACAGTCTCTACGTGATGGAATCACCAGATCCCCAGACAATGCAATCCACTGGTGTAAGATTTAGATTTGGTTATGAATACCTGATTCATGCTTGAAATGTCCTTGTTAAATGGGTTCGCTGTGTCTCAGAGGAGAGTACATATGGAAAAACTATGGTTTTACTTACCGTTAAAAAATATTTTCCTGTAGAATGTTGCAGATCGCCAGTGTATTCACTATGCCAAGTTCAGCTCATATAAAGCATTCCATATGTCTTGACTGCAAAATAATTTAGTAGTTTAATGTTGTTAATGTGTAGGATGTTGTTTAATGGTTTATAAATGTGCTTCATGTTGTATTTTTCTCTTTGCATTAAATAATATATAATTGTGAATACAACCTAAATAACCGTGTTTTGTTTTCCTTATTCAGTAAGGTGTGACCTACAAATACAAGCTGCATTGGTCCTTAACGTGCCATCAGTGAGTGATCTCCTGCCAGCTGTTGAATTCATTGACGTTTTGGACATGAGTACAGTGACTGTTTTAAAAATATATGCCATAAAAAGGTACGTATGTTAACTTTATTGGTGCTTGAACCTTCTGAATACATTTTATTTTGTAATTTTTTTTTTTGTTTTTAACATTCTGTGTTTATTGTATTTTTCACCTTCTATATAGAGTTTTACAGAGAAGAGACAGTTGTTATACAAGCCATCATATACATTGTATATGTCGTGTCCATTTGTGTGCTGTGCATAGCAGGTTTCTTTCTAAGTTTCCTTTTGTTGGGGTTTTGGCGCAGTTATGTTTTGTGCCGGTTCTGTCCGTCTGTTTATTGGCTCAGGTAGTGTGTTGGAAGGTGCATTGTATAAAAACTGTAAAAAACAGTAAAACAGTGTGACATGAGTACCATGTGTGCTGACATATAAGTACCAAACATAAAACTTTGTAACCATTGGTCTTGGATGTTAGGTGGTATTTATTTTAAAACCAAGTTTGTAACATAACCAAAGGATATTGGATGTATTTTTCTAAAATTAAGTTTACTCCTATCACCATGACCATTTTGACGTGGTCTAGGCGGTAGGAGTCCGTATGTGCAGTGTTTCTCATATTGATGTATACTTTATTTATTTATTGCAATATTCTATTGTTTTAGAAAGAGATACAATGAAACGTCCAGGTTGGAAATACAGAACTCTAAGCAGCAGACTAGTAAGGCAAATAAACATATTGCACTGTAATGATTGCCTAAGGCATCATGGGGTGGCAGTTGCCCTTTTTTTTTTCCTGCTTCATTAATCCGTGTTCACCTTATTCAATGCTCACTAGTATTTACTGGATTATGGGAACAACAAGGATGAAGGTATAAAGGGGGAAAGGTTAGGAGTGGCAGGTAATGAAAACAAGAAAGGTGGGGGGGAGGGGAGGGCGCTAAAGTTATAAAACCATTTCCGGGGAATTCATTTTCCTATTCTTTTAAATTCTTTTCCCTTTCTTTAATTTTTTTTTTTTTTTTCTTTCAGGTTTTCTTTGAGTTATCAGAATGATGAACCATTCTTTGGAAAACTCCATTCCATATGAAGACTACTTGAGAATGAAAGCCCAGACAATACCTCCTCAACGTATGAAGGAATTCTTAGACTCGCTTAATGGAAAGGGAACGGAAGAAATGCAGCAATTTGTACATTCTCCAATATCGGTATATCAGCAAAGGAATCATTATTTTTATATGGACAGCACTGATGTGGCAGGTTCTTTGTTGGAGCTAGCAAGGCCTATTGCATCTCCATTACAACATCCTACTGTCAGCCCTGGAGTTCCTCTTGAACAGCATCACATTCCCATGCACCATGTACAGTTGAGACAGGGACACCACTTAGATGTTCCAACAAGCCCATCAAATAAGAACCTGCAACATCAGGCAGAGAACCAATCTATTACTGATGGACAAAGTTCTAATGTTATTGGTACATCTAACTCACAGGATAGAAGATCTTGCTCATCTGGATTATCTCAGCCTGTGAAAAAACGTAAATTTGACTTGCCAATCGAGGATAGCTATACTATTAACCACACGTCTTTGCAGAATACTCCGGCCACAGTTCTAGCTCTACCTGTTCAGAGCCAGCAACAAACCTATATTCCTCTTCGCCAAGAACTGCTAACTGTGGATAGTAGTCAGTTGTACGGATTAGTCCCAGCAAGTACATCGACAGCTGGGCAGTTGCCTAATGTAGAATCATGGGCAATATTTTCTGCTCATGCTACTTGTCCAGAGTCTCAGACTATTATGCACACTTCAGTTCCTCAAGACAGCTGTGGCGCTGTACAGATGGGTGAGATTCCCATGAGTGCAAGCAGTATAAAATTGGAGGAGAGCAAAGAGGGCTATGAAGCCAAAAAGAATATCTCTGAAAAATCTGTGCATACACCTAGTACGTCAGGATATCCTATGCCGTTAATCAATATGAATGGAAATATCCAGATACCACTGTCTGTGCAAGCTGGGGGAAGAGTCTATCAATCCGCTAAATATTGGGATCAACAAGTGCAGGTATGTGATATTTTTTATTTTGTAAACCTGTTGAAAGGTCAATAATGCCTTCATGTGAATGCCTTATGTTTGGTATAGCACACCATGACATATACACATGCATATGTGTCATGAGGCTGCATTTCACATGTATTTCCTACAAGATGTGTGTTTTAGAGAAAGTGAGTCAACACATCTGCTGTGAAAAAAGAGGTTAAAAATATACAAAAAATAATCTCATCTGATACAATAGATCAGGGGTAGGCAACATATGGCACGTGTGGTGTTTTTGCACGGCACTCAAGGCTGATAGGCCAGAGCCTGTTTGGCTCTATCAGGAGTCCCAGGGAAACTTCATATATGTGCAAATACGAAAAGGTGGTAAAGGGCAATCCTCAATTTATGCACTGCAGCACGTACAGGAAGAGATCTGAGATCCTTTCATTCCAGCACTTGTGAATGGGAATCCACACTGTAGTAGCGCAGCCTTGCAGCTGCTATTGCAGCTCCTGTCCTTGCCAGTCTGGTCCACACTGGAACCCAGGGAAGCCACCCACACGGCTAGATATACACAGAGCTGCAGAATAACCCTCCCCTCATACAAATAATACAAACAGTCCACACACAAACTCAACACCACTAACAATCCACATACATGCACACAACCCCACATGCAGGCTCTCACATACAATACCCAAAACAGCCCCACACATACACACACCACCAAACACACTATGTGACATTTCCATCCACACACACAGTTCCACAAGCAGTCCCCATACACAGCCCACATTCATAGGTATCATACACAATATCACAAACTTCTCATGAACATATACAATATAATAGCTCATATACGCACAAATACAATGATACAAAGCAACTGCAGTATAAATAACACAAGCAGAATATGGCAACATACACACCTCAATTTAAAAAATAGGACTGGCACGCTACGGGACATCACAATCCTATTTCGGCACAGTGCTGCTAAAAGGTTGCCTTCCCCTGCAATAGATTCTGGTCAGTGACCAAAAAATTCTTAAATTATGCTATAAAACACCTTTTTGGGGTAGTAATGGTAAATATGCATGTCTCTAAATTGGACTCTATAGCCACCAAAACAACTTTAGCTTAATGCAACCGTTTTGGTGTTTAAATTATGCCTCTGCAGTCTCACTGCTTAATTCTCTGCCATTAAGGAGTTAAATTACTACGTTTATGCAGTCCTCTCTGCATGTGACTTACATAGCATTCCTAAACACTTCCTGTAAAGTAAGATCTATTGTTTAAAGTTCCTTTGTTGGACAGTCTAAAGTTTTTTTGGTGACTATAGTGTAACTTTGTATTACATTCAGCTTGTTGTAAACTTTAACATTCAGTTGCCACCTTTCTAGAATTACTGTTTTGTGACTAGACGTTTTTATTTTTTAATTTGTAAATTGTTGATTGATATTATAGTTGAAATGTGTTACTTTGTCTAGTCTCCAGGCATGCAGTGCTCTCCATCTGAATCTCACCTGCGTTTGCAAAATAATGCAGATTTTCCTTGCACTTTAAAGCCAGATGAAGGAGCTTTATTTTGGAAGACCTGGGCACAGTTAAAAAATTCTGAAACGATGAAAGAAGCTGAAAGCAGGATACAACAGTTTGGAAGTATGATTTTTGCTGTGATGTATAAATGTGTGTTTCACTTGGTTCTCCATACGTTTAGATTTTGATTAAAGGGACACTATAATCACCAGAACAACTACGGCCTATAATATTTGTTCTGGTGAGTATCATCAGTCCCTGCAGGCCTTTTGCAGTAAACACTCTCTTTTCAGAGAAAATGCAGTGTTTATATTAAGGGCCTGTGATACCTCCACTGGCGACTCTTCAGATGGCTACTAGAGGTGCTTCATGGGGCAGTGCTGCACATTCAGTGTCTCCACCCTCTGCATGGAGACACTGAACTGTCATCATAGACATGCATTGATTCAATGCATTTTTATGAGGAGATGCTGATTGGTCAGGGCTGTATTTGGCTTGTGCTGGGTCTGCCCCTGATCTGCCTCCTTGATAAGCTCAGCCATTTTCAGCCAATCCAATGCTTTCCTATGGGAAAACATTGTGATGGGCTGAGATCATAACTTCTGATGTCAGCCAAGAAGGCAGATCCAGCACCAGCAGAGTGGTGTGAAATAAAGGTAAGATTTTACTGTATTTAGGGGGGGCAAGGTGGAGCCAGGAAGGGCCATAGGGGCTAGATAGTGTTTTTAACATTATAGGGTCAGGAATACATGTTTGTGTTCCTGGCCATATGCTTTTCCTTTAAACAAATATAGGTTGGGCAAAAAAAAAACTAGCAGTACAGAATGGTATATACCAAAATATTTACATTTTAGGTGACCCAATATACCTTCCAGATGTACCTCTTCCCACACCAGGCTGTATTGTTTACTTAAAACAGCTGGTTCCTACCTAATACCCTATTTTGGTTTAGATTATAAGCTTGCTTGTGGGTCATGCTTGTATGTTTAGAAAACCTTTATGACATATATAAACAGTCCATTGAAATTAACAAGAGGGCCAGTATTTATTTATTTTTGTCCTTGCTAGTGTTTTAACAGAAGATGCAGATTCTGGAGAGAATCAGCAATTAAAGGGGGCTGTTTAAAGTGAACCTCTCAGTATAAGAGACTGAAGAGACTTTGAACTGGTGGTCCTCCTGCCCTACAATCAAAGCAATCCCAGCGCAGTGCTGCTAGTGCTGGCTATGAATTATAGGAAAAAACTGGTATCACTCATTTGTTTTTGTGTGTACTTAATTGGTATATGAAGTATTGATCTAATCAGTCTGGTGATCATTTTGAAATGTGTTGCTGACTCTCCAGTTAACATACAGTGATTTTCTTTTCCAGGCAGAAAACCCATTATATTTAGGGAAGATGTTCTATCTGTGCCAATAGCAGAATTAAATTATGGATTGTGCCTAATGACCAAAGAAGCTAGGAAGCATGATGGTTCTCCATACGAAGCAGACATGTTGTATTATTTATTTCTTTGTATGCAGAAGGTAGGAGGCATATCTTGTTTTATTTTACAACAGAATTTGTTTCCCCCAATTACTTTTTTTTCTTGGCTACCATTTTTTAAATATAAATGTGTTAGTTACTGCATGTTTCTAGATTTTTCACATTTTGGTTCAAAGTGAACAGGCCTTAGTTTTGTTTTTAACTAGATTAAATAAAGATACCTAATGGTAGGCCAAATATGTTCAGTGACCCACTTCTCGTAGAATTGAAGATAAAGGCAAATGTTTTCTCTAACCCGTTTTGTATTTATTGTTTTTAGTAACTTATGTTTTCATGTTATGGTATAAGGAGGCCCTTTGCCAACATAACTGCAGCTCTGTGACCTTATAGGAGCAAGCTATTGGTGGTGGTAGAATGTGTGTGGGGGGGTAAACATTCCCTTAAGTGCAACACAATTGACTGCCTATGTTTTGTTTTTTTAAATATAACTTTGTTGCCTTGATCAGACTTGTGAACTATATGTGTTAGCTTGTCAAGATTTTCCTCCCAGTGTCTCCCAAATTTGTTTCCTAGTTTCTTTGCATGTTGCCTTTGGCTGTATGGCAGCAGCATGCTGTGTGTGCAGGCATCAGATGCCAATTTTGTACAACATTTACATTAACCAGCCAGAAGCTTTGTTCTGAACTAGCTAATGACTCTGCCAGAGGTGGAGTTACACCAATGGCAGCTACAGGGTTAATCTCTGTATGTGCAGTTTTTTTTAGGAAATATGCTGCACATACAGACTCCAGACATCATGACCACTTCAAATCAATAAAGTGGTCAAGGTGTTTGGAGTCCTTTTAATGTGATTCATGTATGTCCAGCTGTCCTAATAAAAGTCATGAGACTGGAACATGTATCAAACTCTTTTATTGTAATGTATGCATGTTTTTGTTTTCTGACTTTTTTGATTTCTATATACATCATTTTTCTTTTCTTTTTTTTTTTCTTCTCTTTTCCAGCATATGTTTGATAACAACCGTATTGATAATGTTTTTGCCGACCTATACTATTCTAAATTCTTGGGAAAGCTTCATGAAGTTCTTAAAGGATGGTGCCCACGTGTAAATCCGTTTGGTATGGGGAAAAAAAGAAAATTTTAATTTGCAGTTTAAAATGTTTACACAAAGTTTACTCTTTGATTTCCTCCCTTTTCAGGTTATGTAATTTCAAGCTGCGTTGCGGAGGACATGTTGTGGGACTGTAAACAGCTTGGTGCTCATTCGCCAACTACACTCCTTTTTACTTTAATGTATTTCAATACCAAGTAAGTAGACAGATGTGATGTAAGCCTTTTAATTGTTGTACAGAAACAGATATAAATCCAGTTGATGCTTGTTGGATTACAAAAGCTGAGGACTGAATCACTAAAGTTGAGTAGTCCGATTTACTGTTGTTTAGTTGGGAAAAACAAAATTTGTAATCATTCTTAGTTCACAACTGCCAGTAAAAATAGACTGCAGAAATATATTTCACCATGCCAATCTAACATATTGTAGGAAAGTGTAATCTCAGTGAGGTCTGTTTTCTTGTAGGTAGATTCACCTTTAGTGGATAGGATGCTGAATGCATAACTTCATCTCTAGGCTATGGAGTGGGATCAAAGTGTGTCTCTCATGGTGCAGCACCATCAGACTGTGTTAATTTCTCAAATGATTAGGAAAATGTATTTAAACTGCCTGTATATGGGCCATTTGTGCTGGTCTGCTCTGAAAATGGACCACATGTCCCTTTGAGACCCTGCAACTGCTTCCTGTGGCGTGTAGTCTCGGTAAACTGGCACTCATCACATTGTGGTTGCTTTTGAAAATAGTGGGAAATCAGTTTCCTGATAAATTTGAAAACTCCCTTTAGGCTTATGCAATCTGGTATCTCTTTTGATTCTATTGGGGCCAATTTAACAGATCGCTTCACCTGTCAGGTGTGTAGTTGGTGAATAGCTGATTATAATTTGGCCGTAGTAGTTTTGGTTATAAGTCCACCTTACTTCTTTTCTCCAAACGAAGCAGCAAAAAAAAGAGGTTAATATACAAAAAATAATTTAATCTGATACATAAGTTTCTGGTCAGTGATCAGAAAATTCCTAAATTGCAGTAAATAAATGGAATCTGATCTACAGTGCACATATGTTTTATTATTACACTGACATTTAATGCAGGGCTCTTCTTTTATGGATCTTGTTGACATTATTGAGGGTATCTGACACCAACTCAGAGCCTGCAGCTTCACATGAATCAAGTTTACAAGGAGGTTGCTTCTTAGTAGGCTGCTAAGGACTGAATCACTAAAGTTGAGTAGTCCGATTTACTATAAGCATCAAAACAACTTTAGCTTAATGCAGCAATTTTAGTTTATTGATCATGCCCCTGCAGTCTCACTGCTCAAATCTGCCATTAGGGCATTACATAACTTTTGTTTCTGTTTATGAAGTCCTAGCCACACCTCCCCTGACTGTGACTCTCACAACTTGCATGAAAAAATGGTTTCATTTTCAGTCAGAAGTTAACTTGCTTTAGACTTTTATCTCATTGTCTGTAAATTGAACTTTAATAACACACAGATGAGCCTCCTTCAGAGTCTAGGATACTATTAACAGAGCAGAGATAATACATTCTAGATTAAACCATGCAATCAGGAATATAAAATATCTGTATTTCTTTTCAGGTCTAGGGTATAGCTGAAGATCAGGTATATTGTAGAGTTGACTCATTTTAAATTAGTTCTTCCTGGAGACAGGTTTTTTTTTTTCACTTGGTGTCCCCATCGTACCCCAAGCTAAATGTTCAGTAACCCTGAATGATGTAAAACCTTTTTATGTCTTCAACCTCTGTATTTTTTATGTTTAGGTACTTTGTGTTGAAAACTGTCGAGCAGCATTCACAACTGGCTTTTTCTAAAATTACAAAGCAAACAAGAAAGAATCCAGGAATCGGAAAAGACAAAAACTGTACAATACGATTTCTACGACTTTATGGTCAGGTGCAGAGTGGCTTAAAAGGTAACTTCAAATCTTTTGATTGCTTTCACAACTGTCCGGTTACAATAATTACATTTCAATAGAATTCTACTTAATTGTGCTAGGCAAAATACGAACAACTACACAAAAATAAGTCCCACTACTTCTGGGCCTCAGCAAGTTACACATCAGTCCCAATACATAAAAAACAAGCAAAGAAAAAAGGTTACCTGCACACTAGCCTAAATCCATATGCATATTTAAATAAATGGAGGTTATTTAGTTACTCCAATGACCATTAGATGCAAGGTCACGTGCCACGTCAAGGCAAACCTCTTAGGTGGTTCCTACACTAACAATTCACCTTGCTTCCTTGAGCTTCAGGCAAAGAAATCTGAGACAGAGAGAGGTATTTTTCTAAACCCCTACATATATATTAACCCTTAATACTGAACACATGGGCTGGGTGGCAGCATTGTAACATGACTGTGTGATGCAAAAGTGAATACAAATACACAGAAATAAGTGCTGTGCTCAAAATTCCACTACTCCTGGGTGGCAGCAACAACCATGGCACACATCAGCCACAATACATACAAAACAAGCAAAGAAAAAAAGAGCTGCATAGGGATATGAGCTAGTGCGCAGGTAACTTTTTTTCTTTGCTTAAATCACTAGCAACACCAAGTAGGGCATTTTTGTCCAGTGGTTAATTAAGTTTAAGTGGTCCAATAACTTTAAAAAAAAAGTCTTTACTAGTACCATATATATCTAATTTAGACATAACATTACAAAAACATATTGGTCGTGTTTGGAGCGGCCTATAAGAAGTGATCTATTTAAAAGGGGTTGGATCAGTCTTCTTGATTTCTAATGAATTGCCCATTGAGTTAATTTAGACATTAATCCCATTTTTCTTTGGACTGGGGATTCAATTTATTTTTATTAATTTATCTTTTAATTTTTTTTTTTTTTTTATTTGTTTTTTTTTAAAATATGATTTGTTCTTTTATCTGAGTCCAAATAGGAATCATTGTTGACTTCCAGTTGGTTGCTATTAATAATTGTGCTTCTACTATTACTTGTATAATAAACGCTCTTGAGTGAGCATGTGTACTGTGTGGCCGTTGCACTCAAAACGACTGAGCGAGTAGAGCAACGAATCTGTATCAAATTGTTGGTTACGCTTGAACATTCCTCTGCAGAAACTCTTCAGATTATTACAGAATCTCACAATATCCCCTAAACCAGCTTCCATTCATTTTTTTTTTTTTTTAATGTTTAAGTCCTTCCATGTTATAACTCAAAACTTCAATTTATAAAATGGGGATTACTTTATTAAGTTTATTTTCTTATTGAAGTTGACCCAGAAGAAACTCAAGATATCTTAAAACTTCTACTGTTTATAATATTTCCCATCTTATTCTGTCCCTTCTGTTTGCCAATATAATGGAAGAAAAGCCTTATTTTTTTTTTTCATTCTCGTTTAATTTTATATTAACCTTTCTTAATTACTAAAACAATTTTGTGTATGTATAGCATGCATATATGCATGCTGGCATTATAGTAATCTTTTGTAATGGCAAATCCTAATTCTCCTTTAGAGGCCTTAAGAGATAATTTAGAGTTAATCCTGGGCCTTTTTCACAACTAGGGCCAGATTAATAGCCCAGTGGGCCTGGTGCTGACAATTATGAGGGGCCCAAGTACAGAATCTTATCAACCAAAAACACTAAAACCTCTCGAACCCTAGAGCCTGGGCAGAACTCACAACTGAAGCTGCAGAGGCTATTGATTTGCAAGAAACGCTGAAATCTCAAATACAAGTTTTCTTTAAATTTTTTTAACTTTAATGGCAGTAAAATTGGTAGGCTGCCACATGAATGTCCCTTTTAAAGATGAGAGAAAGTTCCCACTTTCTAAATACATTTTTTTCTACTGTTTTTTTCCAACTCTGGATCATCATCAGTATATTAAAATGGATGTTACATACATGCTGTAAATATTTTGAAACCTTTAAATGTAGATTTGTGAAAATTATGAAACCTGTTTTTATTGAACACCTTTCCTGGAAGTCAAGCATGTTAGTTTGTAGATTTGAGAAAATGTGCTTCATACTTATTGGGGCCTACCTTAAATGTTGGTATGTCACTGGATGCTTACAATACGGATTGCTAGATCTGTTAAAAATAAATATGCCACTTAATGCTAACAAATAGGTATTTTTAAAATCTAATTTTATTTAGAAATTTACCAGTAGCTGCTGCATTTCCCACCCTAGTCTTATATAGTCTCAAGCGTTATGTATCTGGTGGCGATGTTGCCGGAAGGAGACTCATAGGATGCAGCAATAAAAAAAAAAAAAAAAAAAACACTCAGATTCTCTTAAAATATGCTAATCTCTCTCTAATTCATGCTTTCATCTTTCAAGTAACTGACGTGGATCATGTAACCAGAACTTCCGAAATGCTTGTGCATGTCAGGCTGCCTGCCAGTCATGCATGCTGGCCAACAGCATCCTGAGCTTGGCATAAATGCGTCTGATGAGCTCGCTCCATGCTTTCTAAGCACTGTGCCCTAGCACTCACATGTCCACTTGTCTCCTTACCTTCTTACTAGCAGGCAGACGCTCCTGGTATACATTCTGAGACTGAGAAAACGTGGATGTAGTGAGTGTAGAAGAAAGGGAACATGCCTTGGTGTTAGAGAGACCAAAGTCAGCATTACCTTAACTAATTTCATTTCAGCTAGTCCACACAAGTTTTGTTTCCATATATCTCTTAAGTTTCCATACTTAAGCAAGAGTATGTGAAGAGTAGTTAGGGTTGCCACCTTTCTAGGAAAAAAAATACAGTCCTTACTAATTTGCTTAACTAATTATGTATGTGTGACATCACATGATGTAAATCACAAGGAGTGACAGAGAAAATTCTATGAAATTACCAAAAAACTACTTACTGTACATACTCGAGTATAAGATGAGTTTTTCGTCACATTTTTTGTGCTGAAAAACCCCCACTCGTCTTATACTCGAGTCACTGTCTGTATTATGGCAACTTACATTGCCATAATACAGACCAGGACCGCCGGGCTCATTACAAGCCCGGCGGTCCTGTTGGGGGCTGGCAGAGAGCTGTAACTTACCTTTCCTGCAGCTCTTGTTAGCTCCCTTCACCTCCGTGCTGGTCAGCTCCCATGTAAGTCTCGCGAGAGCCGCAAGGTCAGAGCCCATGGCAACGCTCTGCGCGGCACTCAGACCGCGAGACTTACAGGCGAGCTGGCCGGCACAGAGGAGAAGGGAGCTGACAGGAGCTGCAGGAAAGGTAAGTTACAGCTTGCTGCCAGCCCCCCTCCTGCCTAATACACACCACTGGACCACCAGGGAATGAGAGCCCCGCTCTCTGGCCAGCTAACAAGCAGGGAGGGGGGACGAAAATAAATAAAGATTTAAATAATATTAAAATAAAATAAATATGAATAAATAAAAAAAAAAAAAAAAAAAATATATATATATATATATATATATATATATATATATATATATATATATATATATATATATATATATAGGCAAATAGAATGGCTGCACTCTCGGATTTCCATACGTTTTCCCAGTTTTTGGGGGGGTAAAATTAGGGGTCTCGACTTATATTCGGGTCGACTTATACTCCAGTATATACGGTAGTTTGATTCTGCTGTATAGATGGATTGCTCCCAGTTTCTCCATGTCACCCAGTGTTCCCTAGTGTCTGTTTCCCCATGGCTCCCAGTGTCCCCATGCCACTTGGAACACTGAGACACTTAGGGACATTGTGTCCCTAGTGTCTGTCCTCATGTCTCCCAGTGACCCCAAGTGTCTGTGTCCCCAAGTCTCCCAGCATCCCCTAGTGTCTGTTTCACAGTGTCGCCAAGTGTCTTAGCGTCCCCAGAGGTCTCCCTATGTTTGTGTCCCCATGTCTCCTTGTAGCCTTTACCCCATCCCTGACTTCATCTCTCACTTCCCTGAGCTGTAGGCTGTCTCTGCAGGCTGTAAGCTGCTGTTTGAACTCTGTGCTGTGTAAATGCTCCCCGCCGATCAAGGAGTAGAGAGATGCAGGTATATGCTGTAACTTCCTATCCCTGCGCCTCTCCACACACACAGCGACCCCTACTGGCTGGTAGTGTTATTGCAGAGTATTCTCTGTTTATAATGAGAAAATTATGAGCATTTGTATTGCTGGTATTACTGTAATATCGGCACCAGCTGTCTTATGGTTATTTCTAATGGTTCCAAAGCCATTAAATATAAAAGTGGAGAAAGTAGACAACCTTGCCTGGTTCCGTTGCTCAGTTTGAACCACTCAGGAATTAAATTACTAACTTCTACCTTTGCCCAAAGGCCTGAGTACAACACCATAATTGCATCCAATATTCTACCATTTAACCCAAAGGCTTGTAGGACCTGACAAAAGTCATTTTACCGTTTTCAGAGGATAGTCCCTATTAGATACCCTGAATCCAGATTATTAATAATCTTGTATTATTAGTAGCCATCCTATCTGGTATGAATTCAGCCAGATCTAAATTAATGATTTTATAGATTAAAAAAAATAAAATTATTTTTTTAAATTGGTTACTGAAAAAGTCTTCTAACGCTCTTAATTGGTGATTTATTATGAGCATACAAATTTGCTAGAGTATAAATATTGATTTGACAAATTAAAATCATATGTTTTCCATCTGCATTTACAATCTGTTTTATTTAACTGAAAGGAGATTAGAGAATAATATACCGTATATACTCGTGTATAAGTCGATCTCATGTATAAGTCGAGTGCAGTTTTGTGACCAACAATTGTGAAATATGCTATGCCTCATGGATAAGTCGAGGGTAAAACTTGGGGCTATGAAATTCTGTGATTTTTATAATTATATACACACACACACACTCTGCATTATATACACACACACACTCATACAAACACACTCTGCATTATATACACACACTCTGTGTATATAATGCAGAGTGTGTATATAATGTAGAATGTGTGTGTGTGTGAACTGGGTGGGGGGAGTGCATTTTTATTTAATTTTTTTTTATTTCAATATTATTATTTTTTTATTATTTTAATTTTTTTTTGTCCCCCCCCCTCCCTGCTTGTTAACTGGTCAGGGAGGGGGGCTATCTTAATCCCTGGTTGTCCAGTGGCATGGGCTGTGAAGTGGGGGGGCCGGCAGGAAGCATTTACTTACCTTTCCTGCAGCTCCTGTCAGCTCCCTTCTCCTCCGTTCCGGTCAGCTCCACTATAAGTCTCGCGGTCTGGTTGCCACGCGGATCGTTGCCATGGCTCTGACGGCCGCGGCTCTCTAAGTTGCCATAATACAGACAGTGACTCGAGTATAAGCCGAGTGGGGGTTTTTAAGCACAAAAAATGTGCTGAAAAACTAGACTTATACTCGAGTATATACTGTAGCCATTTTTAAAAAAAATTAGAGGCACAGAAGAACATACCGAATATTCCTTGATTTTATTCCATATTTTTTCCCTGCTTTCAGTGAGTTTTCTGTACACTGCATAAATCAATATGCTCTTTCTTTATAAACTTTAGAAAGCTTGATCTTTTTTTGTAGGGTATTTAAACTCTGAGCTTTTATCCACAAAGCCTACCTCATCACCGCCAACATGTGTATATATACAACAGTACATCACACTTATACAATGTACACAGGGAAATAAATCCTTCCTAAATCTGGAAATAGGAAATACATTTTTTCTGTGTAGATAATAGTACGTGTTCCCAACTTGCACTGTTACAGTCCATAATAAATGCGGCAGCGAGGCTCATCTTTCTGTCTGCCCGCACTGCTCACGCCTCACCCTTCTGTCAATCCCTATGTTGGCTTCATGTAAGATATAGGGCTCAATTTAAAAAAAATGGTTCTTGCTTTCAAATCTCTACATAATTCTGCTCCCACCCATCTATCTTTCCTAATACACAAGTATGTCCCGTCTAGGCCACCGCGCTCTGCTGAAGACTTACGTCTATCTTCTGTCCGTACTCCCACCTCTGATGCCCGCCTTAAAGACTTCTCGAGGGCTGCACTGTTCCTGTGCAACTCACTTCCCTCCTCTGTTAGAGGCTCACCCAGTCTCCACTCCTTCAAAAAAATAATTAAAAACCCACTTCTTCATAAAAGCGTATCCATTAAACTGTTAATAGCTCCCGACTCAGGGCTCGAGTCCTGCAGGAACGCATGGGAACGGCGTTCCCGCACTTTTTCCACAGCAGGAACGCCGTTCCCGTTACCTGTCCTGCAGGACCGGCCCTGCTACCTGCACAGAGGGGCCATCACACGCTGTGTTCCCTCTCCAGCTATAACTCTCGCGAGACCCGCGGCTGTTACCATGGCAACGCTCCGCACAGGCGAGTCTCGCGAGAGTGAGAGCTGGAGAAGGAACACAGCCTGTGATGGCCCCTCTGTGCAGCGGCTGCCTCCCTCCAACATACCACCGGACCACCAGGCGATCTCCCCCCTCCCTGACAAGGTAAGAAGCAGGGAGGGGGGAATAAAATAAAAAAATATAAACACATAAAGTAAGAAAAAAATGCTTTCCCCCCCACACATCATCCAGCACACACACACCCATCATCCAGCACACACACACACACACATCATCCAGCACACACACACCATCCAGCCCACACACACACACATCATCCACACACACACATCATCCAGCCAAGACACACACACACACCATCCAGCACACACACACACACATCATCCAGCGCGCGCACACATACACACATCATCCAGCGCACACACACACACATCATCCAGCACACACCCACATCATCCAGCACACACGCACACACCCACATCATCCAGCACACACGCACACACACACATCATCCAGCACTCACACACGCACACACATCATCCAGCACTCACACACGCACACACATCATCCAGCACTCACACACGCACACACATCATCCAGCACTCACACACGCACACACATCATCCAGCACTCACACACACTGCATTCATTATACACACTCTTCACTCACTACAAGCACACTACATTCACTATACACTCACTACAAACACACTACACTCACTATACACCCTCTGCATTCACTATACACATTCTGCACTCACTACACACTACATTCACTATACACACTCTGCATTCACTACAAACACACTACATACACTGCATTCATTGTACACACTCTGCACTCACTACAAACACACTAAATTCATTATACACAATTTGCACTTACTACAAACACACTACATTCACTATACACCCTCTGCATTCACTATACACATTCTGCACTCACTACACACTACATTCACTATGCACACTCTGCATTCACTACAAACACACTACATACACTGCATTCATTGTACACACTCTGCACTCACTACAAACACACTACATTCATTATACACACTCTGCACTCACTACAAACACACTACATTCACTATACACACTCTGCATTCATTATACACACTCTGCACTCACTACAAAAACACTACATTCACTATACACACTGCACTCACTAGAAACACACTACATTTATTATACACACTGCACTCACTACAAATACACTACATTTATTATACACACTGCACTCACTACAAATACACTACATTCATTATACACACTCTGCACTCACTAAAAACACTGCATTCATTATACTCACTACAAATACACTACAATTATTATTCACACAGCACTCACTACAAACACACTACATTTATTATTCATACTCTGCATTCACTACAAACACACTACATTCATTATACACACACTGCACTGCACTATATGCATAGGAGTGTATTTTTTTTTTTTTAAGGGGGGGGGGTTGGAAGCGGGAATCTTGGGTGAGTTCCCACACTTTTTTCCCCAGGACTTGACCCCTGTCCCGACTGATTCCTCTCTTGCAACTGTCAATAGTCTAATACTATCCTTACCTTTTTGTGTCACTTTACCCCACTCCCTCTAGCATGTAAGCTCATTTAGCAGGGCCCTCAACCTCTCTGTTCCTGTGTGTCCAACTTGTCTGGTTACAACTACATGTTTGTTCGCCCACCTACTGAGTTTGTTGGCGCTATATAAATAACATAATCATAATGGTGACCCCCCCATTGGGTCTCACTTAACAAATAACATGCTCTAAAGGGGTTTTTTGTGGAACCTGGATGGAACAATCAATAGGAAGAAAAAAGTCATACCATTGTGAAAAGAAACCACCCCATATATTAATTTGTCTTTTAGGTTAACCCTATTCCCATAATTTAAAGCTCCTATCAAACATGTTGCGAACACATACTATTTTAGTCAATGCGTGCATCCTTTTCCATAAGTACTACTTGGTGACTTTTAGATTTCTTCTCCTTTAACCACGTGTTCCATGCTTGGGGATCTTTTAAAGAAGCTCCTTTTTTCCTCAAGTCACATATATCCCTATTGGGAAACCCCATCCATATTTTACATCTTCGTTTCTGTTCTAAAGTGTTCTGCTGGTTTACTTTTACACTGGAACTATGATTATTACTAATATTAATCTTTTTTTTTTTTTTTTTCAGTTTAAAAAAAATAAGTAACTTTTATAAAAGTGCTGTGTTGTATTTTGTGTGCTCTTTAAAGGGACACTGCCTAATTTAAGTGGTCTGGGTGCCATGTCCCTGTTTTAACCCTGCAAGTGAAAACTTTGGCATTCTCCAGGAACAGTAATGATTACATTGCAGGGTTTAATGCCTCTAGTGGCTGTCAGAGTGAGCAGACTATCAGAGGGCATCTGTTCAATGAGACAAGTAAACTCTGCTCTTTAAATCTGATTGGTGCAGCGCATAGTTTTAATGCTTACTTATGTGGGCAGCTACCCAACTTGTTAGATTGGCACTATAAAGTTAGAAATATGTTTTGTATTCCTAATGCCATAGTGTTCCTTTACGATTAACTTTAATGGACACTCCAGGAGCATCATTAGATGATAATTGAAGATTAGGTTACCGTTAGATCTAATGGATTTTTAAAAAAATCTTATCCTTTTTTTTTTTTTTCATTATTTAACTTTGTTGTATAAGCCTGCAGTCCAATAATAGAGCAGTGACAGTTCACACTCAGCACTGTTATGTATAATTTTAAGACAGGGCTTGACAATTTTTGAATCTAGTAGCCATCTAAAAAAAGATTAGGAGCCAATTTTTTTTAAAACTAGCGATGTGTGTATACCTGTGTGTGAGGGAGCAGTGATCTTCCTGCAGCTCCTCTCTGCTCTCTCGCACTGTCTGCAGTGATGCCGGGGCAGGAATGACGTCATATTCCTGCTCCCGGCATTACACAGTGCGAGCGAGCAAAGAGGAGATGCAGGATGATCTGCACCCATGCCTGCTGCCTCCACGATCCCCAGGGGGCCGCCTGCATGCAGCCCAAGACGGCCACATCCATGATCCCTGCCTCCACGCTCCTTAGGGAGACCGGCCGGCTTCATTGTTCCCACATCCTGCCTTTAGTTAAAGGGCTTTAAATCCCATGCGCCAGGGCAAAATTTCTAGTCGACCTGGCGTCTGGGATTTGTCGAACCCTAGAGCCTCCGGATTACTGGAGTCACCCCCTGCCCTGGGCAGAACTCACAACTGAAGCTGCAGAGGCTAATGATTTGCAAGAAACGCTGAAATCTCAAATGCAAGTTTTCTTTTAAAATTTTTAACTTTAATGGCAGTAAAATTGGTAGGCTGCCACATGAATGATTTTTAAAGATGAGAGAAAGTTCCCACTTTCTAAATACATTTTTTCTACTGTTTTTTTCCAACTCTGGATCATCATCAGTATATTAAAATGGATGTTACATACATGCTGTAAATATTTTGAAACCTTTAAATGTAGATTTGTGAAAATTATGAAACCTGTTTTTATTGAAACACTGGAAGTCAAGCATGTTAGTTTGTAGATTTGAGAAAATGTGCTTCATACTTATTGGGGCCTACCTTAGATGTTGGTATGTCACTGGATGCTTACAATACGGATTGCTAGATCTGTTAAAAATAAATATGCCACTTAATGCTAACAAATAGGTATAAACATATATTTTGTGTTTTTACATTGATGTTTTAGAGTACTTTATCTTTTGATTGTTGGCATCATTCTCTTTTCTGTGGATGTTTTAATCCCAAATTATTTGTCTTTGTTTTCTAGTGGCAGAAGAAACTTATGTAGAGCAGCTGGAAAATCCAGATAATCCATTGCAATGTCCCATTAAGTTGTATGACTTTTATCGCTTTAAATGGTAAGGAGTTTGGCTACTTTATATTTTCTGCACTTTTAAAATTATTTACAATATACAAATAAAGTTGGTGTATCAATGTGCATTTACATGGCATGGCAAATGAAAAAATTACTAATACAATAACACTGGAAATGATTGGTGTCATGAACGTGGGCTATTGCCCCACCGAGGCAGTGGTTGCTAGTCCCAGCAACCACTAAATTAACGTCTGCAATCCCTTCTACACTAACACCCTAGTACACAATTTACTGCCACCACCAAGACTTTATATCTGGGCGTCTTCGGTTACCCCACACACAGTAGAATTATAGGAGCAAGTCCTTACTTTACTGATCAGACATATATAATTAACCCTTTTAGTAACATGTTTACCTGAGCTTTCCTCAGGAGAGTGAGCTCATAGACAACAAAGACACAAGCTGATTAAACATTTAATCTGACAAAAGGGATTCACAGTGCTGGGTACAAAAATACAGAAATAAATGACATACAGAAACACAGATAACAAATTGAAAAACAGTCCATAAAATAGGAGAAAACACGAGAAATTCCTTACATATATATTACCCCTTATATATAATTCTTTTGGGAGATTCAGATGGTACAGGTCTCCAAGTAGCTGTTGAAAAAAGAAATCTCTCACTGCATAGACCAACGTTCTCAATATAAAACTTAAACTAGTTGTTTCTAAGTGGGCAGACCCCTGGGTGAATCCATGGGGTTTGGCCTGGCAGTTTATTGCCCACTACATATTTTCTTAAATTATGTTGTCCTTTGAAGAACCCAAAGTCAGAGCATATGCAACAATACCTTTTACGATGCCCTATGTCCAGCTCTGATGATGGTTATCTAGTAGTTTTATGGCTTAGGCCTGGAGTACGATCAAAGCCTACAATAAATGTTATCCCAACATGTACAAAAACAACTCATAACATATATCAAATGCCAACTCATGCTTTGGCATGACAAATGGTATATTCTTGGTTATTTTAATAACCTGACCACGTACTGTAACTACACCAAAAATAATTCTGCACTCCTGACTCAGCATGCTATGCTGTCCTTTTTGGGGCGTGTTCTAGGCCGTCCTTTTTGGGGCGGTCCTAAATGTCGGCAGGGCTGCATAGAATGTCCCGGCTGATGCCACGCCGGGGGTCTGTCTCGGACCTTGGATGTGTGTGTGTGTGTATATATATATATAATCTAAGTACTTTTATATACACATACATACATAATTAAAAAAGTGTATTTTAATATATATATATTTATATATTAATATTAACATACTCTTAGAATGACGTTGATTATAAATCAGAAACCTGCACTCCAAAGTGTTGAAAGAAATTTTGGCCCGGTGATGGTCTGCAAGATTATCCAAACTGCATGTATAAGATGGCACTCAAAGGACTTCAAAGTAATGTAAAGTAAAACTTTCCTTTTATTTAGCAAATGTGCAAACAATCGACGTTTCAGTTCTAACCAACGTTTCGGTTCTAACTCGAACTTTCTTCAGGATATCCTGAGTTAGAACTGAAACGTCGATTGTTTGCACAGCATCTGGAAAAGGAAAGTTTTACTTTACCTTAACCCCTTAAGGACCAAACTTCTGGAATAAAAGGGAATCATGACATGTCACACATGTCATGTGTCCTTAAGGGGTTAAAGTCCTTGGAGTGCTATCTTCTATATGCAGTGTGTACATATGTAATAAAAATAATCAATAAAATGAAGAAAAAAAATTAAAGAAAAAGAGAAAAAAAAAATGTATGTACCAGTTTTAATTTGTTCTAACTGTATTTTGATATTAATATACATATATATTAAATTCAAAATACAGTTAGAATGACGTTATATATATATATATGTGTGTGTGTATATATACAAAATTCTATATACATATGTATTTAAATTCTACAAATAGTTATATAATATTTTTACATAATGCAGTCATTTTATTAATTACAATCTGAGAGACCTGCCCGACAACTCAGGCGGAAAGTCCAGAGAATTTGGCTTGCAAACCCTGTTTTACTCGGGAGACTTCGCTGAACACAAATATTTAAAAACAGTAAAACATATCACAATGATGATATTGTCAGTAAAAATTCATTTTTTTGCATTTTACACACACAAACTGTACTTTCACTGACAATATAATTGTTGTGATACATTTGACTATTTGGAAACACTAATATTTGTGTTCAGTGAAGTCTCCAGAGTATAACAGTACCCCCATGTACAGGTTTTATGGTGTTTTCAAAAGTTACTGAGTCAAATATAAGGCTTGAATTTCCTTTTTTTTCACATTGAAATTTGCCAGATTGGTTATGTTGCCTTTGAGACCTTATGGTAGCCCAGGAATGAGAATTACTTCCATGATGGCTTACAATTTGCAAAAGTGGACAACCCAAGGTATTGCAAATGAGATATGTTCAATCTTTTTTTAGTAACCACTTAGTCACAAACACTGACCAAACTTTGCATTCAATTTAGATTTTTACATTTTTCACACATTACAAATATGAATGCTAACTTTGGCCAGTGTTTGTGACTAAGTGGCTACTAAAAAAGACTGGACATACCCCAGTTGTAATACCATGGGTTGTCTACATTTGCAAATGGTATGCCATCATGTGGATAATTTTCATTCCTGGGCTACCATACAGTCTCAAAGGCAACATAACCAGTCTGGCAAATTTCAATGTGTATAAACTGAAAAATGTAATGTGCTGTATTTGACCCTGTAACTTTCCAAAACACAATAAAACCTGTACATTGGGGGGGGGGGGGTCTGTTTTACTTGTGAGACATCGCTAAATATAAATGTGTATTTTATTGCAGTAACCGCTAACTGTATTATGCTATTCACAGTTAAAATGCCATGCACATCTAAAAAAATAAAAAATTTTCTCAATATAAAAAAAATATATATTTTATTCATATTAAATTATGTTTAAAATACAAATATTTAAGGTGACATGAAAGCCCTGTTTCTCCTTCAACAAAATTATAAATAATTGTGGGTGCACATAATATGAAAGAGGTGAATTACGCCTGAACAGACATATTCAAGGTTTTGTTTGTTTTGTTTTGATCGCAACTTGTACAACTGCCTTAGTCCTTAAGGGGTTAAAGGAACGCTATATTGTCAGGAATACTTTTAGGTTACCGGTACTGTCCTGCTGGCATGCCTCCCTGGCTGAGATTATTAATCTTGTTGATCCCAGGGAATCCAGTGATGCCCCATAAAAAAAGGCATTGGGAGGCTAGTGTACATGTGCGACTATTTGCAGCTCTTGCAGTAGTGTTAGTGATTTGTCTGAATAAGTCCTGGTAATTGCCAAACAAAATGATTCTGAAAATTCGGTTTGTTCATTAATGTCCCAAATCACCAGAATCCTTTTTCGTGTGTGGATTAAATTGGTTTTAATCCTGATTATTATTTCTGTCATAAACTTCTATTCCTGGGAATTTTATTTGAGCTTGTAGAAAGTCCATTGACATGAATGATCAAGGGTTTGGTTTTAAAAAACAAAAAAATCTTTATCAGAATGTTAATGCAACAGTGACTTGTACAGTCTGGTGAACAAGGGCAAAAAATACAGGAAGGTGACTGGCAGGCAGGTGTCAGTAGAACTGATTAGAGGACAAAGATGGGGCAACATTTAAACACAAAACAAAAACAAATAGAAGCAGCAGGATTGAGTACATTAGTGGAAAATATAAAGTGTATACAGTACTTTATTAGTAATACTAGTAATTATGTAACACTATTTTAGGATAGCTTTTATTTTTTAGTAAAATGACGTATTATTTCCTTGATATGCCAGGAGTAATAATTATGGGACCTCAAAAGGCATTGCCTTTACATGATTTTAGTTAAACTCACATCACATGAATATAATTGAAGAGAAAAGTTTTTTTTTTTTTTTTTTACATTCTTAAATGTGTTGATTTAATAAATTGTAAATCCATTAATTATCTGGCTTTACTTTTTTTTAGTCCTCAGGGTGCCAGAGGCCCCACAGATGCGTTCTACTTGGTTCCGGAACCAGTGGTCGCCCCGAATAGCCCGATTTGGTACTCTGCGCAGCCTGTGAATGAAGAAGTGATGGAGCAAATGTTAACCCGAATATTACTGGTTAAAGAGGTCCAGGAAACTCATGCTAACTCCCGAATCTCTTCATATTAATCACTTCTCTGTGTTATATCAAAATGTGTTGATCCAATTTATTTGTAAAGCATGATTAAATTGTGTAGATTATTTGCTTTACTGTACTTTATTCCACAGGAATGTGCTTTGAGAATACAGAGCACTTCTCACATTCTATATTTGTTTGCCATGTACAAAAAGCACATTTACTGCAGATGTCTGTTTTGATCTAATTTATGCTGACACCATGTTGAGCACTGCGTACACAGTGCTGATATCACCTTTATGGAGTAAATTATCACTCCGAATCATTATAATTTAGTTACTGTAAATATCTAGCTTTCTTTGGCTATTTTTTCATATAAAAAAAATGCATATGAGGTCACTTCTCACCTTATCTTATAATTCAGAAAAAAAATATGTACCATGTGAAAAGATTGTACATATGAAATAATTGTTCGTTTGTAACAAGCGCTTAGCAATTGTATAATTTATTAATCAGTTTAGTGCAATGCAGCCATAATCATGTTTTTAATGAAACATGCTGAAATTATGGAATCGTACAGTTTTTTCCTTTTATATAAGGACGATGCTTCCATGATGACCCTAGTTGCGGAGAAACCGAATTTGGAAAAAACCAAACAAACCCCTGCTACAATCTTTGTGAGGATAACCACATTGCATCCTTTATTTTCTTTTCACTACACTTCGAAAGATCTCCAAACACTATAATTTGGTTCATTTCTTGACTGTCTCTTTTTATTTCATGTTATGTTACTAAAACTGGGTTCACAGGAAGCTTCTACATTGTTGGAATATTTCCAGCTTTTGTGTTTGACGTTGTGGGTGTATTTTGTGCCTAAGTAAAATGTCACTACAAGATATGACACTTTAACACCTACTTTTGTGCATGCACAGAAGGGTTTGCACATCATGCTGGGAAAACTATACAACCTTACCTCAAAATCCAGTCATGCCGTGCCTTAACACAATCCGGGCACTTGGATTTAGTTCAGTGGTGACTGTAATGTAAATTTTGATTGTGTTTTTAGTACGTTCACTTTTACAGGGAGATTTGTATATTTTCACAGAAACTTTAACATGGAAATCACTGACTAATAGGAAAAAATGAGTTTGTTATATCTGATGTATGCTAGATTTCTGGTATCTTTGTTATTTAATACAGATTGAGCACTAATTTTGATTTGAAATAAAATTGCAATTGAATGTATAGTTGGTTTTTGAAAACTATTGGGTCTTGATTTTAATGACTTGATAATATACATTCCCATTCAAAGTTCTATGTTGGATTAAGAACGATTTAAGTGCTAAATGGTTTTAGTATATGTGACTTCCTATCAAGATTATTCACGAACGTGAATAGTAGGAAAGTGAAATTTAAGGCCAAAGTAGCTGAACTGGAATTAAATGTATCCAATATGGCTATGCTGCCAGTTCAGCTAAGTTGGCCTTAATTTTGAAACTCTATGAATCCCCAACAATTAATACTTTGGTGAATAACCCTGTATGTTTATATTCTGTTAATTTGCTATATAAAATCATAGCTGCTTAAAAAACACAGTATGATAAAATTATACCAAAACATCACTAAGACCGTGAAGATCTCCATATTTGGATTTGACACATTTACACATCTGTGTGAAATGTACATAATTACATATATCCCATAGATAAGTGAATTTACTTCAATTTGAAAATAAAGTTCAGACAATATAAATGTATTGCAGCCTAGACAGAAAGTAAATGTGACTTTACATTGCACAGCGACGCAGCATATTCTAAGTACAAAACAAAGCTGGTATGGAAAATCTCCCAGCCCTATCTTTACATGTGAGCATGATTGTTTGTGCCTATTGGCAACCTTGTTACATATCTTAGAGCAGGCTAGTGACAGAGTTTGGAAGATAAAGGTCTAACCATGTGTGATTGTGTCTAAAGGGAGCCTGCTGTCATTGTATGATGGATCTGTGGTGTTTGTGATTGGGTCTGTGTATACAATAATTAATATTATGAGGAAACCGTATAGCCATGAAATAAGAGATATCATATAGTATAGAGACTGTCCCGTATGCACTTGCCACAGTCTACAATTTAATGCTGCGTGTACGTAGTATGAGATGTACCTTTGGAGCCCAAGAATGCAACATGTGGAAACCCAGGAGTTAGTGATAATGCCCTAAAAAGTAAATTCAAAATGGAGAAAATATTTCTGAAAGCTGCTCCTACAGTATGGCCTTCACATTTATTTTTTGTTTAGTTTTTTTTCTCTAATAGGAGAGAAAATGAAAAGGAAGAACTTAAAGCATATATTATAACTTTGGTCACATGTATAATGCATCAGTTGTCTTACTGTTAGGTTGTTATGCAAGGATACAGTGAGTGATGCGCTTTACAGAGCTTAGTATCTGAGTTGAGCCATATTTCGTGTGCCTCTAATTTGGTCTTCGGTTACCTTCACCTTTTATTTTTCTTTCTTTGATTGAAAACCCCTTCCACCAGAAATCAGCGGATAGTCAATACATTGACTATCTGCACACCAGTCAAACTATAAGACTTGCTTTTCTCACATGTGCTGTTACTACTTTCATAGTGCTGTCTATTACAGGATTCACCCAGGAGCAGTGCGAATGAGTTTTGCTTGGTGGAGACCAGGATAAACCCCCACCAGCTCCAGTGGGGTGGAGGGCAGGGGGAGGAGGGTGTACAGGTTTCTAGTGTTCAGATGTAAGTCCATGCAGTCTTGGTTGGAGAGATTGTCTGTTTCTCCTACAGAAAGTGGGGGAGGGAGAGAAAGAGAAACACTGGACTGCAACAGCTCACCATTTAGTATGGTGGTAAAGCTCCACCTCCCCTTCAAAATTCTTCTCATTTAAGAGTTCCTTTGTTCATACAGCATTGAGAACTGATGTACTAGAGAACTGTTTTTTTGAGTACTCTCAGTAATACATTTAAGGTTTCAGTAACTTGTGTAGCTTTAGAAATATAGGAAATATTCAGGTATATGTCATATTCAATAGATGTAGGATTTCCATTATTTTTTTTTTTTTACCTCTTTACAGACTCCATAATACAAGGTGTACTTTGAGTAACTTCAAGCTGATACAAAGACTAGACATAAGTGACAGATCTGCTTTAACGTATCAGTATTTCATCAAAACATGTTAGACTGTGTTGGCCTCACACAGAAATTCCAAATGCACCATAAAACAAAGATGGGACTACTTAGTCTTAGGGACAAGCCTAAACTTGACAAAGGGCAGAGTTGTGCAGTCAACTTTTGTTTAATCCCGGCAATGGTCACACATGAAGACTGGGATTCAGACATCGATCTATGGAGACTCTTGCACATACATGGTGTATTCTGGTTTTGTGCTGCCCTAGGCATGACAAAACTCAGGTGTGCCCTCCCCCTCCCCCCAATTTATCTTCCTGACAGACACATGCACTCCCTGATGCATGCACCGAAATACATTTACTGACAGTCATAGTCACACACATTGTTTAACCAACACACTTTCACTGAAACAAACATTCACAGTTACACACACTCACCGACAGCCACACATTCACAGTTACACACATTCACTGATAGACATGCACACTCACTCTGTGTCAGAGACCCACACACAATGAGACACATATATACTTACTGACAGATACACACTGGCAAACAAACATACTCACTGACAGATATATACACTCAGTATCAGACACACATACGCTACCAGACATACTCACTAACAGACACCCTAACCCTCAGTAGTTTTTTTTTTTTTTTTTTTTCTAATGTCAAATCAACCCAGCCTCCCTACCTTTGGGAGCTGGAGTTGATTCTTCCCTGGGGTCTTGTGGGGCAGGTAGGCACAGGCATTCGAACAGTGGAGGGATGCGGCGAGGGAACTCTGATCCTCCTGCGCCTTTCAGTGATGCTGGGGCCGGAGTGACACCATATCTTGGCTCCGGCATCACTGCGGTGCAAGTGAGGGAGCTGAGCAGGAAGAGCTCAGGAAAGCTCCCTCGCTGCCTGTGTGCAAATAGGACAGATGCCAGCCTGCCACTTCTTGAGTCCCTCAGGAAAAGAGGCTGACTAGGCATCTGCCAGGGCATGGGGGGCGGCTTTTTTTCCTGCCCCCCTAAAAGTGCCGCCAAAGGCAAATGCCTGGTTAGCCTCTTGCTAGATACAGCACTGTCACAGCTCCTGGCTAATGAAGTGCCAGCAACTGAAGAGGTTACACAAGGTGAAGGTGGAGGCTGCAAGTGACAACTTGGAGTAAGTAAAACTTTACTTCCCTTGGGTCTACCCTGCACCTGTCACTTTTGGGGATCTTTGGGAAAATATGCAAAGACCCTTCAAAAGTGACAGACCTGCTTCGTGTCTTGCGTCTGTTGCATAATAATTTATACTTGCTTGGGTTCAATGTAGGTTTCGCAGTGTATATGACTCACCCATATGGTAGACTATTTTTCTTGATCATTTGTAATTCTTGTATTTAAAAAGAATCCCAAGAAATACAAAAACACAGCCCACATATGTAAAGAAAATGGCAGAAGTAGTAATTCGCACCTGGTGAATGTGAGTATAGCACCTCTAAACGGGCGAGTAAATTTTAATGTCTAGCTAGTAGCATAGAAATTTAAATTTTAAACCCGCCATCCATCATCACCATCAGTGCAACAAACAATACATCACAATGAGATCACTATTGCTCTCAAAAGTGCTGCTAGACTGCCCACATTCACATTCAGGGGCTATAAGACTTGCAGACTTTAACAAAATTTGGAACTAAATAATTTTCAAATTATCACCATTTGCAAAAGTAGACAACCCAAGGTATTGCAATTGGGGTATGCCCAGTCTTTTTTAGTAGCCACTTGGTCACAAACACTGGTCAAAATTTGTGTTAATATTTGAAAATGCATAAAACTAATTTGAATGTCAATTTGGGCCAGTGTTTGTGACCAAGTGGCTACTAAAAAAGACTGGACATATCCCATTTGCAATACCTTGGGTTGTCTACTAATATATATAAATTTATATACATATATTTATATACTCACATATATATATATGTGAGTATATAAATATGTATATAAATTGTTTTTATTTATATATAGGTATATAGTGATATATACTTATGTATATAGATATATATTATTTTGTTCTACATGTATTTTGATATCAATATATTAATTTGAAAATAGTTAGAACGAAGTTACACTTTTTTAATTAAATTTAACATATTTATTTTATACTATATATAAATATATATATATAATGCAAATCATATATATAACCAATATCATTGTATTTGTAGTTTAGTATTAATATATATTTAATTATATATATATATATATATATATATATTTGTGTTAAGGGCTCATGATAGTACAGAAGATACAAACACTGATAAGTATGGGATAGTGTGAAAGAGCAAGTCGGTTGTGGTGTGCCGGAACCGACGATGAGGTAGGCCTGTAAATAAAGAGGGCCCACCAATAAGAAATGTATGAGAAAAAGGAGTTCATAAAAAGGAGTGGGTGGGAGGGTGATGCAGCGCTGACCTCGAACGGTATGGAGCCAGGTAAGGGGTGTCCCTTAAGTAGGGAGAAGGTGAGTCATACGCCCCTCCCACAATTACAGGCCAAAAGGCCTTAATACTTGTGTTAAGGGCTCATGATAGTACAGAAGATACAAACACTGATAAGTATGGGATAGTGTGAAAGAGCAAGTCGGTTGTGGTGTGCCGGAACCGACGATGAGGTAGGCCTGTAAATAAAGAGGGCAAAAAGTAGAAAATATACTTTATTACGAAACGAGCAGTATACATACTTCAACCAGACATATCTTGAAAGGCATTTCTAACTTCTTGTACCGGGTTAGGTATGTATCTAGAGTATGCAGAAGACTTCCAGCGCCCTAGTGACTTGATAACATGTACTGGAATGTTTGCACTGGACGCTGTGGAGGCCGCCCCTATGCGGAAGGAGTGGCCCGAATAGTTAGCTGATTTTAGTCCTAGTTGTGTAAGTAGGGACCTGACGTGGGTCATGAAGGTGGTGGTAGTGAGTACCGAACCTTGTAGACAGAAAAGTGGTTGAGATGGTGATGCTTTGAAATGCTGAGTATAGGTGTCCAGTAATGTGACGGGGCACCACACGTTGTGGGTAGGATAGTATCTAACCTCTACCGGGGGTGCGTGTTGATTGGTTTTGGAGTGATGCAGAGTTAAAATATAGTAATCCATGTGTTTCGTTAAGTGTGAATGAAGCAGAATGTGAGT